CCTGCGCCCGCCGCCGCCGCCGCCGCCGCCTCGGCCAGGCTTCCTACGCGACGCCGCGGCCCGACTAGGCCTGACGAGGGGGCCGCCGTCGCCGGGCCTGCTGCTCTTCCGGCAGATGGCGCCACGGGTGCCCTTCGGTCCCCGCCGCCTCGGCCTGGCCTTCAGCCTGGGCTTGGCGCTGCTGGAGCCGGCGCTAGCCGAACAGAGGCAGGCGACCGAGGCTTGCAAGGACATCCAGGTGCGGGCGGACTAGGCCGCGTTGCCGTGGCGACGGCGGGCAGGGTGGCCGTTCGGTGGACTAGGCCGCGTTGCCGTGGCGACGGCGGGCAAGGTGGCCGTTCGGTGGACTAGGACGCGTTGCCGTGGCGACGGGCGCGCAGGCGTTTTTCCGCATCTGCTGAGGAGGGTTTCTCACCTGGGGCAATCTGTTGACCCTCCAAATGTGTTGGGCTGCCGCCATGGCGGTTGGGGATGATGGGGCCTTTAGCCCAATGCTTCTGAAGGTCCTTAAGTCGGTGTATTGGCCACTGCGAGCAGAGAGCCATTGTTGGGCCTACTAGTGATGTGATAAAGTGATACAGAACTACGAATGGTGTGACAAGATCATTTCCTCTGCTGCTTTTAGAGTGGTAGCAGCTAGTGAGATTGGCAGTAATTCTGGATGGGGAAAAGTGAGGATTTCTTCACACACAGCAGTTAAACCTAGGAAGTTCATGCCACAAGGTGTGATGCTCAGCATAGGTGGTTTATACAAAGGTTTGGATAAATTAATGGAAGACACACCTGTTTATCCTGCTCAATAATAAACAAGGCAATTACAGTTAGGGTTACACTCTAAAAGGTACAAGATGAAAAGGAAAAGATGAGGAGGGAAGAGGAAAACAAGCAAATTCAGGCAGCAGTTCTTAATGAATTACAACGTTCATTATGTGGAAATACTATTATGTGGAAACACTTGAACAGTGGAAGTTCAGTTTGGAAACACTTGAACAGGAGAACCAAATAGGGCTGGTGTCTCAGCAGAACTAGTGGAAGGGGTCCTGCAGCCCTCTTCGCAGCAGGTGGAATACCTGCTAATTATAAAAGTAACATTGTGTACTGTATTTTGTTTCTCTTTTCATCTTCAGACAATATTTATCCAGAGGAATAAACCCCAAAAAGAGTCTCTGGGCTTATTCCGCCAGCAAGGCTTCAAACTGGAAGAGTACTCCATTGGCCAACCCATTGCCAAGGGCTGTAGTGCCGCTGTGTATGAAGCAACCGTTCCATTCGCCACCCATCACAAAGCAAGCTTGGAGTCCCAGGCCAGACATTCTGCTCCAGGTGGTGATTCAGACATCCAAGACACATCAAAAGGATCTTATCAAGAAGGTTCCTGGAGAGCTGGCTTCCCGCTGGCCATCAAGATGATGTGGAATATTTCGGTGAGGACCCAATCTTACAGGTTGCCCTCCAGGAGCTTTGGGCTAGAACTTGCAGAATTCCTGCCCATGGGTGACACAGGCTGGGGTTTATGGTCATTGTAGTCAGGAGGTGTATTCATTGCTGGCAGTCAGCATTGAGGCTACTAGCTTAGAGGCACCAGGGGCTTCCAACATTCTTATGTTAATCCCAAACATCTGGATTATGTCAGGTTGCCTACACCTGGTTTTCCAAGAAGCTGGAATAACATGTTTACATATTTAAGGTTTTGCAGGAAACTGCACTGGAAAACCTGGGGTTGTTAATGAGCAGCTGGTAGAACGATAATGGACATCTGCCTAAAATTTGCCCTGGGGAGGATACAACTTTGTGGCGTCATTGTTTTTCTGAAAGAAGCGGTCTGCTCCTGTAGGAGAATAAGAATGTAAGCAACAGACCGACCGAATGCAAAAAAATAGCCTTGCCTGATTCATCTGGTGCTAACAGTGGTCAAAAGCCGCAACAGGCGCTTTGTAAACAAGTCCTTTGCACATGCGCGTGTCCCCCTTCCCGTGTGCTCGTTCAGGTTCCCTCCTAACTCTGGGATGCAGAATCCTAAGTCCCCTGCACGTTCTTTTAGGGGCAGTCTGAGGTTTTCACAGATGACACTGAGACAGGAAGAAAAGCGCATTAAGCTAAAATCAGCACTGTCCTGCAATATACCCTCATTCGAGGCGACCTTCCATGAGAACATTGGCCTCATTAAAAGCCTTCCTGCTGTTTAACCTGAAAATTCACCTAATATTTCCTTTCCTGGGCACTGTCCTGCCTTCAAATTACTGTTATTACTGGGCTTCTTTATAAGACAGTTGGAAGAGTGGTGGAGGAAATAGGTGAGCTGTGCTGAAAGAGAACATTGAATAATATTTTGGGACACACCGAGACCCATTCAGTGCAGAATATTGATCTCAGCTGTTGGATGTCTTTTATTTGCTGTGTTTAGGCATTTTATGAAACGTTTATATGCTGCCTTCCATTTGTTTCATAAAAACAAGCAGGGTGGAAATGTCGAAATAAATAAATTGAATTTAAAAAGTTGTTCCCATGTTGTGAGTTGCAGGTTCGACTCTGATACATTCAAGCTTGGCAAAAGCTATTTAGGAAGTGAGGTTGATCAAGGGATCAGCCGTCTGATCTTCATCCACTCAGACTGCCATCTGAGAAGGGGCTAGCTGAAACAGAGGTGCTTCTCTTCTGGCACTAGGCCCAAAGCAGGCCGTTGTACTGGCAGGAAAGAGGCAGTTTTGAATCTGTTGGATCCAAAAGCCTTTAGTCTGCTAAGGAAGCCCCGGGATTGGTCTTGCACATTTGCAACCGGCCTAGAACTGGGGTAATTAATTCTGTTCTCCTGTGTGGGCTGGGACAGGTAAGTCTGTCCTGGCACACTTCTTACCCTGGGCAGGGCAGACCCACAGAACTGTGGAAGTGATGGGTGATTCGTCACCTGCCGCCCACTCCCGGCTGCAGTCCAGATTTCGCCCATCAGTCATCCACAGAACAATTCTAGGCGTAGCTACTCATAAGTGAGTCCAGTGGGCCTTGCTTTCAGCTACGTGTGTGGAGGACTCAGCCTTACTGGCTAACTGGGGCTGCACTCTTCACATAGCGCTTAGATCTGAACCCAAGGAAAATGAATGATTTTCTTTGCAATGGCTCTTGCAGGCTGGGTCTTCAAGCGAAGGCATCCTCAGCAACATGTCCCAAGAGCTTGTTCCAGCCGCTGGCTCTGCCTTCTCGGGAGAATTTGGAGCAATCGCTTGCCCCAGGTACGACTTGCTAATTGTGATGAACTTGGTGCATGCTGGGGCTTGCACTGGATGGCATCTTTAGTGCAGGTAACTGTGTTTCACTTCTTCGGGCAGTGGCCGGTCTCCGTTGCCGCTGTGGAACTGCAAGGCAACCGGCACGTATGGTGGAATAGAGGCAAGACTCATAATGTTAATAGTAGTATTAATATTAACAGCCTCACTGCAGCATAGATTGGTCTAAAGTCACAGGAACAGTCTAATTTACATCAGCCATTTCAATCCAGTTTCCAGGTTCTGGCAAAATGATTGCTTTGGCCCAGAATGTCCAAGAATTCTCTGCACCCAAGAAGAGTATTTGCTCATTTGTTGCTCTAACAATGAAAACAATGTTGGATCAAGACTTAATCATACTTGGAATAGACCCTCTGAAATCAGTGGACTTCTGTCGGTCATGACTAACTTCATTTCAGTGGATCTACTCTAAGTCTGGATCCAACCCATTATTTGAAATTATAAATAGAGTCTTTCTGCTTCCCAAGAGTGTAATTCCAAACCTTTGGTCAGGCAGCCTACATGCCTTTTAGCAGTGTACCATTAAATCTGATTAGAGCCAGGGATTCAAAAGAAAGGTCAGAGATTTCTGGAAATCTTTCCTCGTGATACAGCAGCACTTTGTGCAAAACTTTCATTAGAAACAGGTTTCTATTTCAGATTTGGAGGTGAATCAGGTTTGTTTCTTTTGCCGTTTCTTTTCCATTCCAGAAAGTGAGCCAGGGAATTGGACAAGATGAGGAGGAAGGGAACCGACAGGAAAGCGGGAGGGATGGCTGTTCCTCAGCCCTAAACAGGGGGCAGGGTAGTCCACAGTGGCAACTTGGCTCTGGAAGAACGGGGTTTGGGCCTCCGCTGCCTCCACCCTCTCTGCACGATCTTGGCAAACTCAAACTCCCTGCTCCCATTTCCCTATCTAAAGCAAGGCACTTAACAAGCACGGGGAGGCTGTGAGAGCAAATGCCAGGTGGACGGGAAGTGCACTTCGCGAAGGAAAACAAGTGCTAAGTGGCAACTAATGGTCCTGGACTGTTTTGGAACAGGAAGCCTGTCTTTGGGAGGAAGAGGCTGAAACCTCACCCAAATGTGATCCAGGTGATCCGAGCATTCACATCGCACGTCCCGCTGCTCCCTGGTGCCATGGCGGACTATCCGGATGTGTTGCCCTCCACCCTGAATCCCTCTGGAATTGGGCACAGCCGCACGCTGTTCCTGGTGATGAAGAAGTAAGTCACGAGCAGTGCGATGGCTCGGTCGTCCTGCCTGCGAGTGCGCTGCCAGCCTTCGGGGGTTTAAACGACCTCCAAAAACACTAGATTTGGCTGCCGCAAGCCGCTAGCCGTGGGGAAGGAATGCTCCCAGCTGCCTTGGGGTTGGGCAGGGTTGGGGAGAGGGGAGAGCAGCCCACTCCACCGAGCCGTTCCATCCCCACTGCTTCTTCCACACCACGACTTGCAGCACTAGAACAGTGGCCGAAGGTGGCCCTGCCGCCTGTCCGATGGGCGCTGGGGAGGTGCAGGTGCGGCTGCGTAGGGAGCAGCTGCAGCTTGCCCACCTGTGTCAGAGTGGCTCCAGGCTGTCGGCTTGCCTTTCATTTGCTCACTGCTGCTAAGGCAACTCAGGTTCTGAATCGCTAAGGTTGCAATCCTGGACAGGCTAACTTGAGAGCAGGGATGGGCAACTTGTGGCCCTCCAGGTATTTTAACCTACAACCACCTGCCTGTGGGCAGTGCTGATGAGTGTTGTCAGCCAAACCATCTGGACGGTCACAGGTGGGCCTCCCATGCTTTGAATACGTCTCGCAAAGTCACGTGGGATTAGGGATGAGTAAGGAATCCTGTTTGAAGGTGACTTTCTTTTGGATTTCCTCAGATCCCTGGACTCAAGCCCCCCTTTCTCTCTGCCCTGTGTCCACCTTGCGCCAGGTGTTTGCTTTCACCAGGAGGTTCGCGCGAGGGAAGTTCTGCTCCCAAGCGTGTGACTTGCGATCTTTGGGTGCTTGGTGCAAAGAATCGCGTACTTGAGCACTCTCACAAAGATGGCACTCGCCTGACCGAGCCTTTGCGGACTTCATCCCCGTTTGGCTCCCTTCCTGGCCAGGGCCAAGCATAGGAAAGCAGTGTGACGAGTGCAAGAGACCCGGATTCCAGCTGATCTTCACATCCTTCCATGGGATACTTTTCTGAATAGAGTGTTGCGCTCGAATGTCTATCAAGCACACAGAGATGTGTTCCACTGCCCAGACTTTGCTCTAATTACGGATGGGATGTGCTTCTGGTTAAGGGTTGGAGTTGTGTAGAAATGTCCACTTGGCAGGGTCAGGAAAAGGGCCAGATCACCAAGGAACAGACGGGCGGAGAGCAGGGGGATGAGACATTTAGGTGCTCAGGTGGGAAAGAGGGCAGTAGCCCGCACTTTTCACAGAGGGGATTTCAGCCGATGAAGCTTGCATGAGAAACTGCATCTCCTGAGAATTCCTTCTGGGTGCAGGAGCCCTGTCCCGTTTTGCCATCCAGCGATCCTGGCATCTACCCAGAGTACAAAAAGGACACCTCTCACCCATAAGCTTTTTTCAGTTGATGCCTGTGTGGTTTTTAAGCCATGAGAATTAGGTGAGTGTATTAAAAGAAGAGGGACAGGGGAGAGAGGAAAGTGGAGAACACGGGGAAGCTCTGGTTGTGAGGAATTGCCTCCACGTGGTGTCCGGTCCTGGTGAGGAGGAGGCCACAGTGGGTCTGGAGGAAGCAGGCTAGGCAGCAGTCCCCTGCGGCCACTCGTGCTTGCTCCAGCGCCCTTCCAGAAGCCGAGAGCTGAAGTGACAGGGGCGGGTCCTTCAGCACCTTGGACAGGTCTCGGGGAACAGGGGGCTCGCTCTGAAAGCGCTGGTCATTCTGGCAGTTGGGATTCTCTTTGCAACCTGCTCCCATTGTTAGCTGTGCTCTTCTATTATCTATTAGCCTGCCGCAACCTGGCCCTGCAGAGTGGGGATGACGGGAGTTGTTGTTCAACCTCTCTGGAAGGTGCCAGGTTGGGTAAAGCTGCTTTACACAGTCCCCGAACCTGATTCCTTCTGATTAATTCGACCCCTCTCCTTCCAAGGTAAGTGTCCAGGGCAGTGCTGCTAACCTGGGTCATGACGGGAAGGGGCTTGTGTGGAGAGGTGCCCTTCTCTGGCTGGAGCTGATCTTAGGCGCCACGTTATAAAAGGGACTGGAAGGACCTTTTCCCATCCAGGTGCCAGTTTTGGCACTGGAGTGAAAGAACTCGCATTAATGAACTGCCACCTCCTTGGTCGCCTTTCAGCTATCCATGCACGCTCCGCCAGTACCTCCGCCAGAAGAGTCCCAGTCATGATCTGGGAGCCATGATGATCCTGCAGTTGCTGGAAGGGGTGGACCATCTTGTCCGGCACGGGGTGGCCCACAGGGATTTGAAGTCCGACAACGTCCTCGTCGAGTTTGACTCCGGTATGTGGAGCGTCCTGGGCAGCTGGGCAAGGGAGGCAGAGCACGCGCTGCAGGCATCGCAGAGAGGGAGGGGCTGCGCAGGGGAGGGGGGCCGTGGGGGCGGCTGTGGCCACCCTGTGCGATGCCCTATGTGGGCCATGCTGACAATGCGGAGACTCGCCTTGTGGTCCCAGCTTGCTGGATCTGCATTGCCCTTCAGGGGGCAGGCAAAGGCAGCCTCGTGCGCTTCAGGCTGACTGGCTGCAGCAGCTTGTTTCTTTAGATGGGTGGATTGCGGGTTGCAGTTGCAAAAAGGAAATTACGTAGAGATAATTAGTTGTATTCTAGTACTTTTAGCTGCCTCGGACATTGCCTTAATCAAGAGACACAAATTTAATAACTATATGCCCTCTGGCTGCAGCCTTTTAGGAAAGGGTCTCCCACACACGTCCTCACTGTGTGAGGCATCTCATGGCATCCCATTTCAGTTGGCCCTTCCCGAGAGTTGCAGCCCATTAAAATTAAGGCACAGACTCGTTTCCCAGATGCTTCGACCTCTGCTTGAAATCTCGCTGTCCCTTTCCACCCTTTGCAGCTGGATGTCCTGGACTGGTCATCACAGATTTTGGCTGCTGTTTGGCTGACGAAAAGATTGGCTTGAAGCTGCCTTTCACCAGCTGGTACGTGGATCGTGGCGGCAACAGTTGCCTCATGGCACCAGAGGTACGGCAGGCCTCGCTTTCTTTCCGAAGCAGCAGCACTTCTGCCGGCTGTGCTAACACTCGGGCTCCTACGGGAGGACCGGGCTAGATCCCGTTGCAAGCAGAACCGCCTGCGGGATCCAGCCAAGGGTCCCTCTAATCCTGCATCCCGCCAGGCTCGGGAGCATCAGATGCCAGCCTGTCACTGCCGAGGCAGAAACAAACAGTTTGCAAAATTCCCCTGTCGTGTTGCTCAAGTATCTGGCCTTGGTGTGCTGAAGCAGGGCTTTAAAGCTTCCCCGCCCTCCTGCGCCTGTGGAGGATGCCCCACTGCCATCAAACGGCTTGAGAGGAGAGACTGACTTTCCACAGGGCTGCAGCAGTGGAAGAAGGAATTAAATTCCTCCTGTTTATTTGACTTGTGCCCTGCCTTCCTATCAAAAACAGCTTATTATTGTAAGCCGTCCTGAAACAACTACTTGTATAGGACGGGATAAAAATACCCTAAATAAATAAAACATCACACAGGGCAGCTTACAATCATGAACAACAAGCTGTGAGTCAAAATAGCTTCCAAGCCTGCAGACCTGCTTGCCCACCAGAGCGTCATTCGAATGGTGGCCTTTGCCCGCCAGTCCAAAAAGAGAGTGAACCAGCCTCCTCGGCCTGGAATTGCATGGCCAGGGGCAGCTCTGAAAGGCCCTGTCCCCCGGCACCCCCGGATCCTGGCGTTCTCAAAACAGGAGCCTCTCTTAGGCGAGAGCAGGTCTTAGGACGTGGTAGCTTGGTCCTAACCATTGCAGCCCTTCATGGGCACAACCAGCATGTCAAATTCTGCCCAGAAACTGGCCAGTAGCTGGGGAGTTGTAGTCACGATGGAGCCATGTGCTCTCCCTCCTCAGCTGACAGTTTGGGACACCTGGGTGTTAGTGCAGTTTGCCTTGCCGGAGGGGCCTTTTGGTAATGTTTTGCCCGGCCCTTCCTCTCCACAGGTGGCGTCTGCAACCCCAGGCCCAGGCGTGGTGATAGATTACGCCAAGGCGGACGCGTGGGCAGTCGGAGCCATCGCCTATGAGATTCTTGGCACCTGCAACCCTTTCTACAGCAAAGGAGGAGCAGCTCTGGAAAGCAGGCACTACAGAGAAGAGGACCTTCCACCCTTGCCGAAGGCTGTGCCCCAGCAAGTGAAGACACTGGTTCGGATGCTGCTGCAGCGGGACCCCGCCAAGGTGAGGGCGACTCTCCTTTCCCCAGGGTCAGCGGTGGGAAGGCCAGTCGAGAAGCCCGCAGAGGCTCTCTGACCTGCCCTAAGACCTGTGTCAGCAGGGCTGGACTTCCATCCCCATGAATACAGACCTGGCACTAGTGTTCATTGGACCTGCCTGGGCTGATCTAAGAATATGCAGGCTTGGGGCTGTCACACAAATCCCATTCAGGCAGAATAGACGGCCAGCCGATCCACACGGGTGGCTGAGATGAATCTGAGGACACCCCCCCCCCTCACTGCGACTGCGTGCTGGATTCACCTCTTGTCTGCATGCCCCCTGCTCTGATTTCCAGCAGTTCGGAAGATCTAGGACCACGAGAAGTTGCCTTCGATCAGGCCAGACAAATCTTCCGCTGAGCCCAGAATTGTCCCCAATGTGCGGCCATGGCTGTCCTGGGCTTTTCCCATCACCACTGACCCGGTCTGTTTTTCTAAACTGGAAGCGACAGGGAGCACTGGAGGCATCCCTACATTTAGTTAGCAGTTGCCTTCCCCTTGAGCTATGATTCCCTAAAATGTGAAACCCCAGAGAATGCAATAAGGCACAGCAAGCATATTGAACGTAAACGGCATTCGAAGTATTGGCAAGGTCACCTCATGCAAGCTTCACGTGCACCTCTGGCCTTCCCTACATCAGCTTTCCTCAACCTGGTGGCCTCCAGATGGGATAAGGCTTACTCAGAATGATAGGTGTTGCAGCTGAAATACGTAGAGGCGGCCAGGCTGAACAAACCTGATCCAGAATGGAAAGCGTTGGTGAGCAGGGATGAGGGAAGCACACGCCGGAAATGACTGCCTGTCTGACAGCTGCAGCTAGTCTGTGACTCCTCCGTCTCCTCCCCTTTCAGAGGCTCTCGGCCCGGGTGGCAGCCAACGTCCTCCACCTGAGCCTGTGGGGCAGCAGCATGCCTGCTCTGAAGGACCCCCAAGCTGACAGGTTGGTCGCCTGGCTGCTGCACCAGTCTGCCGCTGCCTTGCTGCTGGACCGACGTGGAGGCGGGAGCAGGGTTGAGGCGAGGCTGAAGAGGTGCTTCTTGGCCAGCCTGGAATACGAAGAGCTGCGTGAAGCAGCGGCTCTGCTCCGCGCTTGGACGAGTGCAGCGCCGGAGCAGGCCCGGCTGTGCTAGTGGCCGTGGCCTCACTTTTCTCAGATAATTCACTAACAGCGCCTGCCAGGCTAAGCTCCCCCCACCCCTGCCAGCCTAGACACACCTTAGGTAAGAAGCACTTTCCAAAATGTGGGACCTGCAGGTGCAAAGGTGATCGCGTTTGAGTTGGCTGGAAAAATCCTCAGTGTGCTCACTATGTTCATCCTCCAAGGACACCTGGGTTGCTTTTGTCCCCTGGTGCTGCCTTCAGACTGGAGAGTCGCTGCAGCTGCCCTCCTCCTTCCCAGGAAGGAAGTTCTCTGTACCTGGAGGTGCCCTGCTGCACAAGGTGGAGAATATAAACCTTTGCAGCCCCCCCCCCCCCCCTTTCCTCATTCAAAAAGAATTAGTGGCGAAACAGAGCTGTTTGTTTCTTCTCTGCTCAGGCATCTGCCAGCGTTTTCCTGCAGAGCCTCCATGGCACATGGGGTGCCCCCTGCAGCCAGTACCACCTTCTGGGTTTGAATATTTTAAATATATGTAATGTTTAAACGAGGAGTCTCGATTCCCCAGGCACCAAAACAGTCCTTGGGCATGCCCCTGGGAAGGGCTCCGAAGCCAGCTCATGGGTGGGTGTGGCATTCCTTTACAGATGGTTGGTGGGGGTCCCTGCCTCCGATATGGAATGGGGCCTTTCCCAGCAAGCACAGCTCCTTGCTCTCGCTCTCGCTCTCGCTCTCGCGGGGCTGTAGCAGAAGTGCAGGCTGAAAAATCTCCCCTGGGGTTCCGGAGCCCTCCTCGCCCTCTGCGGGTGGCATCCATTTTGGCGGATGTTGACCCGCCTACTCATGAGCAGGGCATCCGGTCTGCCCATGTATCAGGACTCCTCCTGCTGTTGTACGTGTGAATTCTGTTCACAACGGAACAGTGTCAGAAGGTCTGGAAGCTACGTGGGGTGTGATCCTTCCTCCCCTTTCCAGAAACGACTGTTTGGTCCATGTGCGCGCGCACACTCGACACAGTTTAAGGCCACTTTTGATTCGAGTGTATTTAACAGGCTGCTCCACACAGTTGAAGTCTGATGAGCAGCCACGGAGTTCTCTGAGGCTGCCTTTCCACACTAAGGCTGAAAAGGGGCGGGAGGCCAGCAGCCTGTTACGGAAGGGGCTTGTCACATCACATCCCAAGAACATTGCACTTCTCTGTTGGAGGTGATGGATTATTTCCTCTTTAGGATGATGCTGAGGAGGAAGAAAGTGGAAAGAGGCAGGGAGCTCTGTCCTGAGAGAAATTGTCGAGCTCAAGGTACAGTCCTAGGGAAGTTCAGATGGGATGAAGGCCTGCAGCTGAAGGCTGGGCCATACCTGGAGTTGTAGGTCTTCTCTCTCAAGCGTGCACGGCGTGGCACCGTAGGTGTGCCCTCCCTCATTCTGGAGAGTAAGAAAATGTTAATGTTCTACAGAAGAGTTGTTTTGGAGCAGGCTTAATTACTTTTGTTAGACTTTGTAGCTGTGAGCAGTGAGGTGTTTCTTGGGTAAACTCTTTCCCCTTTTGGTGCAATAAAATGTGTATTGCTTAGAACCCTGCAGCGTATTTGCTTGCTTGCTTTTTCCTTTATTTTGAACAAGTAAGGGCTTGTACATTTCTCAGTTGCCACTCAGATTAGTATAGGTGTGTGGAGGGGGGGGGGGAAGGTGAGTGTTCTTCAAAGAGTCTGCATGGGCTTTAAGCACCAGGTACACAACGCAACCCTCCTGAGCATCTAAACTTCTGTTTTAGGAGAGGACCCAAGCTTCTGGCCCTTAAGGCTGAGCAGGACAAAGCCTGCTGAGATCTCAGATCTCAGAGGGGATAATGGAAGTTTCCCCGTGGTCCATAGTGTTCTAGCGTTGATCTCTGCCTCTCCTTCCCCACCGCCTTTGGAACAGAAGCAGCAGGAGATACCGTTCCAAACTTTGCCGACCCAAGAACATGTAAGAAGTGTTGATGATTATACATGGCCGTGACTGACTCTGCACAAGGGTGGCTACTGTTTCACCAGGCAAATGGGTTTTTTCCTCTGCTTGTCCAAACACCCCTGCTCGAAGGAGGCACCTGAGAAGAATCCAGAAGGAAGCAATGGCAGCAGCTATGCGGCGTGGGCAGGAAGGCTCGGGCAGGGATGAACCCACCAGCCCCTGCCAGCAAAGGCAGTAGCCCGGGATGATGGGAACTAATTAGGGTGCACATAGTGTCTGGAAGGTGACAGTTCTCCCACCTGCTTCACAAACCACACACCCAGCGTCTCGGAATCCCTTGGGGTGGGTCACGGGGGCATAGGGGACAGACGGCAGGGGGTGTTACATTTCCCCCCTTGAGAGAAACCACTCCCTGGAGCTGCCCTTCGCCTCTCCGTGGGGCTGGCAGGAGCTGGGGCGCAACATCTGGCACTGACGCAAATCTGGCCCTGGCCAGGGTCTAGCGTCTCCCGCTGCTGGGGCTCCGCAGGGCAGTGCACCTTGGTGGTTTGGCTACCGACAGCCAATGAGCACGTGAGCAGTGCAATGTGTATGGGTGCACATTTAGAAATACTTAAAGCGTAAGTGGAAATACAGTGCATCTCACCGCAGTGGGGAAGACTCGGAACCTGCTGCGCTCACCTTTCTCTTTAAGGGCCACAGAGCCCTTGGGAGACATGATGTCCTTGAGCAGAGCGACACCTGGCCAGGGCAGGCCCCAGGTAGCACAGGCCGCTCGCCCCTCGCCTGGCATCGGCTGCCCCCGCAAACCCTGCGGTATCCATGGGGGCGGAGGGGGGATGCATCCTGATGCTCGCAGGCTTTGCACCAGGATGGCCTCAGGGAGAACTGGGCAGACGCACAGAGGAGGCGGCCAGCTGCCTGCATACTGCCTTCGGTACCAGGTACCTCTGCATACCAGCTGCTGGGGGACATGGGCGGGCGGTACTGTCCCCCACATGCCCTGCTTGTGGGATCCTGCAGGTGGCTGTATGGCCACTGTGTGAACAGAATGCTGGCCTGGGTGGTCCCTGGGTCTCGTCCAGCAGGGCTCTTACCCTCCCCACCTGCTCCTTCCCTTTATTTCTTTTACTTTTATACCACTCGGTAGCCGTGGTTCTCTGAGCAGTTGACAAAAGTTAAGGAAAAAACACAGACACAAACTCACAAGATAAAATCAACATAGAACAGCTCTACCTCTCGTTTTCCACCAATCCAGGTGAGGCAGTGGCTGTGCTGAACCGGTGCCTGGCCGAGGTAATGGGCTGGATGAGGGCCAATAAACTGAAGCTCAATCCAGACAAGACGGAGGTCCTGTTGGTTGGCGGATCGGGCTTCGGAGAGGGTGGATTTGACCTGGTCCTGAATGGGGTTGCACTCCCTCTTAGGGACAAGGTCCACAGCCTGGGAGTGCTCCTCGACCCGGAGCTTTCACTAGAAGCTCGGGTGACAGCGGTGGCGAGGAGCGCTTTCCTTCAGCTTCGGCTGATTCATCAGCTGCGCCCCTACCTGGAGTACGACTGCCTGGCGACGGTGACACATGCGCTGGTGACTTCCCGCCTAGACTTCTGTAACGCGCTTTACGTGGGGCTTCCCGTGAAGACAGTCCGAACTCTTCAATTGGTGCAAAATAGAGCTGCCAGGTTGCTGACGGGGACGGGGTGTTATGTTCACATGACTCCAGTCCTCCAACAGCTTCACTGGCTTCCCATTGAAGTCCGGGCCCAATTCAAGGTGTTGGTTATGACCTATAAAGCCCTAAACGGCTTGGGACCTGGTTACCTGAAGGAGCGCTTACATCCATATATGCCCGACCGCCCCTTGAGATCTGCAGGAGAGGCCCTTCTCCGGGAACCCTCCGTGAAAGAAATAAGGAGTGTAGGTACTCGGAGGAGGGCTTTCTCTGCGGTGGCGCCCAATCTATGGAATGTGCTCCCCAGAGAGGTCCGCCTGGCGCCGTCGTTATTTGTTTTTCGGCGCCAGGTGGAGACCTTTTTATTTAAATGTCATTTTAATTGTTAACAATATTTACTTATTTATCTGGCCAGGGTGACTTCTTTTCTTTACTTCTTTTCTTTTATAACGTTTCTTTTATAACTTCTTTTATATCTTTTATATTTTTATTTATTTTATATTATTAATTTTAATTTTATATTGTTATTTTTGTATTGTATTGTGTTGTAAGCCTCCCCGAGGCTTCGGCAAGGGGCAGCATACAAATGTAATAATAATAATAATAACAACAACAACAACAACAGCAAAACTGCAAAGGAATCTGCAGCCGTTCCCAGCGCTGCCTCACTCTGCCTCATGGCAGGGCCGGCCTGGGAGGTGAACTCAGTGGGGAAGGCAGAAAAAGGATTGCTTCGGGGCGGGCATTTCAGTCCGCATGCGCCCCAGCTGCTTCAGCAAGAAGAGGATCGGGAGTCCACCTTGCACCCTCTGTTTTACTGCCACAAAGCTTGTAAAATGGCAGAAGGGTGTAGAAAGCAGACAGGGTGAGCTGCTCTCTTCCAAGACGCTTGGAGATTTTGTACGCAGCTGCATCTTTGGCATAGCCCTGGACGTCCTGTCAAAACACTCACCCCTCCCACGAGCCCCAAACCTTGCAGAAGAGGCATGTCGGACAGTCCTTCCTGGGTCGGTGTCACATGAGCCCTGCAGTTAGTCGTGCAGGTTGGGTGCTAGGCAGAATACTTGCAGAGACAGCAAGTGGCATATAAATCCATAACCACAAAATATGATACAACGAGCAACGCTGAGCGTCAAAAGCTGGCAGGTGAAAACTCGCTCTCTCGAAATTGCTGACTTTGGACGTGGAAGGAGTCTACAGTCAGAATGTCTCCTATTTAAGATGTTTCCTCCACTGCCAGTTTAAAATGCAAGACATTTCCACCGGGTTTACAGCTTACACCAAAAAGCTAGCAAGCCACGGCCTGAATAGGGGCCAGCTTGTACTCCCACCCTGGTGAAAGATGGACTTTTAAAATGCCTTTTCCATTCATCGCCAGGCTGCTTTTGTTTAAATAATACGAACTTGGTTTTAGCATAAAAAACTTTCTAGCAAGAGAGAGGCAGGAGCCCTGGAGAGTGCGGGAAAATCCGTGGCTGGCTTTGGAGATTCAGGTGCGGCTGGTTTTGCTCTGGAGCGCTGGCCGGAACCGGGGCAGCCGCGGGAGGAGGCAGGCAGGCAGGCAGGCGAGCGACCTTGCAAGACCGTGCGCAGCGGCGCTGCCCTTTGAGCTGTGGGCAGGGCGCGCGGTGCGCCACGTCTGGGCACTTTCCTGCCACCGGAGGCGGCTGCACATCGCCCTGGCTCCGCCGCAGCATGGAGACCCTTCTTTCCTCCCGGTGTGGCCCCCTGCTCTGGGCAAAGATGCGCAGAAGCAGCCTGGCTCGTGGCGCAGCGGTGTTCCCGGCGGGTTCCCAGCGCGCGTCCTCCCGGCTCCCCAAGCGCAGCGCGCTCGCCCCGCAGCGCACTGCTCCGGGCGGATCGTTCTTGAGAAGCGGCGCCGGCCAGGGCGCTCTCCCTCCCCGCCGCTGGAATTCAGATTCCCGCTTCAACATACCCCCCAGCGCCGAGTTCGTGGCCAGGCCGGTGGGGATCTGTTCCATGTTCAGGCTGCCCATCCGGGACTCTGCCGACGGCCTGGACGCGGCTTTCGTTGGTGTCCCTCTGGACACGGGAACTTCCAACCGCCCTGGGGCCAGGTGAGTGGGGCTCGTTCCTAGCGAGGGGGCGGGGTTCAGGTTGCCTGGTGCATTGGAGACCTGGCATGAGGGAGGCCAGGGATCAAATCCAGGTTCAGGTGAGAATCTAGGTGACGAGGTGACGAGAGGAAAGGATGTTGTGTGGAAGCCCACTAAGGCCCAAGCCTGGAGCAGGACCTGGGGAGGCTCTGCAGGAAAGCTGAGAAATGCAGTCGGGCTGGTTTAACGCTGCTCGAGACCACAGGCCTTTGCATTTGTTCGGTGCCAAAGTCCAAAAGTACCCCTGGGGCTGCCCAAATGTCCAGCCACTTCTGTAATCTGTCAGTCAAAACTCTCCCTGGATTTGGGGGTTTTTGAACGACCTATTCTTGCTTCAGGAGAACCAGCACACCCTCCCGTGCATAACTGACAGCTTTCGTATCCCTGGCCGCAGCACGGCAGAGCATTCCCTTCATTTGTGCTCCTGTCAGCCTCTGTATGACTGGCAACGCACCAATAAAACACAGCGGAATCTCGCCTCAACGTGTGTTTGTTTGCCAAAGGATGGGAGTGCCTCCAAAAAGCAGTCCAACACCATGTAAAACGAATCAGGATGCAACTACAAGGCCACTGCTTCATGATTGCTTTGTTCCCCCTCATTGTTTATGTTTTACAATCGCTGGTAAAAAAACCCCACTGAAATATAGTTATGTCCCCATATGGTGTGTGCAGCACAGAATAAAAAGAACAGCTGTTTTGCATGAAGCAGCTGCCTGGACTCTGCTTTAGTGTTTGCACGAGGACTTTAGCACAGGCGTCTGCTCCGTTCTGGCTCCAGTGAGGCCGTCCCCTTCAGGCAGGCCCCCTTCCTCCAAAATGTTCCCCAGTGATTAGCAGCTGCCAGGTGGCTAAGGGAGCAAGATTGCTGCCATTGCCTGGTGTGCTGCCATTTGGTGCTCAGGTAGGACTCGAGGAATTTACGAGAAGTCGTCATTCCTCTGTACTCCTCACCAGTCGGACCTCACCGGAAATACCGTGTCCAGTTCCGGGCAACAAGATTTAAGAAAGATGCAGGAAAATTAGAAAGGGTCCAGCAGAGGGCAACGAAAATGATCCAGGGTTTGGAAACACTGCCCTGTGAGGAGGGACTGAGAGAACTGGGCATGTTCGGCCTTGAGAAGACAAGACTGAGGGGGATGTGAGATCCCTCTATAAGTGCCTCAAAGGCTGTCACAAAGAGGAAGGTCAAGATCTCTCCTTGCTGATTCCAGAGTGTAGCACAAGGAATAATCAGTTCAAGTTGCAACACCCAGGTTCAGGCTGGACATCAGGAATAGTTTCCTCACTGTCAAAGTAATACGGCAGTGGAACCAGCTGCCTGGAGAGGTGGGGGGCTCTCCCACACTGGAGACATTCAAGGTGAAACTGGGCAGCCACCTGAGTGGGATGGTGAGACTTGGTGTCCTGCCACAGCAGGGGGTTGGACTTGATGGCCTTCATGGGCCCTTCCAACTCTTCTATGATTCTATGAATCATAACAAGGAAGGACATCACGCCAAGGAGAGCATCAGGTGGAGAAGGAGAAGCTGCCAGGTGCTTGCCTCCCGTCTCTGCCAGAAAGGGCTGACAATTGTCTGGGAGGGCAGAAGAAATGGAAAACTACCCGCTGGCCCACCAGCCACCCAGTCAACCAACCATCTTTTCCCTGCAAAAGGCCCATCAAGCGGGGAGCTGCCTGGCCCAAAGCCCATTTGTATGCATGTTTAACGCTTGCCCCGAGAAGCTGGTCGCTCAGCCCTTTCCTTCGTTCCTCTGCAAGGCCCCTGCTGATGGAATTCGTTTTCTGAGCTCGTGCAAACACAGAAAGAACCCTCCCAGCGACTCCCGTGCAGCAGAGCAACTCCACCTTTCTATGTTTCGCCAAGCACCCCGCTATCCCCTTCAGTCGCTTGAGTGCCTGCATGGCCAGCTAGCAAATTCCTTTTTAAAAATAGGCTGCTTCGCGTTATGCTAAGCAAGCAGCTCACGGAGAAGGTCGACTGCCCTTTGGCCGCTTGCTGCCGAGCTCCCTCACCCACATCTCCCTCCATCGCTCACTGTCACAGCCAGCGGTGAGTTACAGAGCTGAGTCAGGAAAGGCTTGCGCCCGTTCCAGCAGAGCGGGGAAAACTGGAAGTGGGAAGGCGGCGTGGCATTCTTTCCTGTGCGTTGTGCGGGGCCAACAAGGACAGTTGCAAACCAGCTTGGGACATTCTCCGGGGTCCTTTTTTCAGGGACACTCTGTGTCCTTTAGGGGCACAAAGTGGAGAGCGCTGAAAAGAGATGCGGAAGAGAGGCAGGGACAGGTCCTTGTCAGGGTCTCCCCCCACTCTGGCCGGGGGCTCTCCAGCCCCTCCTGGCAGCCCACGGTCAAACAGCCCTGCTGGGTTCAGATGACAGATACCATGGGTATGAACAGCCCTAGAACAAACCCTGGCTTCTCAAGGCGGCTCTGCTCATGCGAAAGAAGGTGCTCTGCAGAAGCCACGTGGCTGGCTGGGTGGTGCAGTTCTTTTCTTTATTGCCACGGTGAGCTGCTTTGGAAATTGTCTGAAAAGTGGAACAGAAATGCAGTAAATAAGGCCTTCAATCAAAAGGAACATTCCCACCAAGCCAAAGGTAACTAATCTTTTTGCATTGGAGGGCTGAATTCCATCTCAGGTAAGTTTTCAGTGGCTGCATTCTGGGAATTTTAGAATAGCACAAAACTCACTCAAAAGTTTGGAAACCACCCAAAAATTAGTGATTGGGGTGGGAAGGGAAGTGGGGAACGAGCTGGGGACGTAAGCAAAGAGAACCAACCTTCCCAGAGGTTAAGCTCAACCTTACAGCAACCACAAACTCTGACCATGGGAAAATTCACTTTATGTTCAAAATGTCTATGATGAGAAACTTTTAACAAAGGGAAATAAGAACCTTTTGCTATACTATAACAAGCTGACTTACTTGAGCTAGAAATAACTCAGAATGAACAGATACATTTCCCAAGACAGGCAGTGCCTGGGTTCAGACAATCAGTGGTTGAACGCATGTTGCTGATGAATCATGGGTTGTTGCTGAAACAACAACATGTAGTTTGAACCCATCTGTGCCAACAACCCATGGCTTGTTAACCATGGACAGTGCATGAAGAAAATGCGTGATATGTTTCTGGATTGTGAACCGTGGGTTGCTCACCATCGTTTGTTAGCTAAGTTCAGACAATGCCATATCCTACATCGCAGCAACACCACTGTCCATCGACAACCCCTACTCATGTTGTCTAAACCTGATGAGGTAACCATGGTGAGCAATCCATAGTTCACAACCCATCAACAAACCATGGGTTCTCTTCAAAGGGTGCTGAGGGTAAGCAAGCCACGGCTTGTTAACAGACGTGGGTTCATAGAACCCATGGCTCACAGACAACCCGTGCTCAGTCTTTGCCTGTGGGTTACTGTGTTGCCTAAACCCAGCTATTGGTAGCACCAGGCCTCCCCAAAGCCCTGGCCTTCCCCACATCCCAAGGGCCACTCAACATGGTTCTGAAACAGGGGTTATTGTGTGACCTGCCAGAGATGGAGGAGATGGCCAGATGGCCCCCTTTCCTCACAGCGAGACCTCATGGGGCCTTCAGGCAGAAATGTGTGATGTTAACACATTGTATGAAAGTGTGCACCAGCGCCACCACCAGCAGCGTCTTCTCTTCCAGGTTCGGTCCTCGCCACATCCGTGCCGAGTCTGGGATGGTGAGGCGCTTCAACCCAAGCACTGGGGCAGACCCGTTCCATTCCCTTGTGGTGGCCGACATCGGCGATGTGAACGTCAACCTTTATAACCTGGCAGACAGCTGCAGACAGATCCGGGAAGCCTTCCAAAAGATCACGGCAGGGGGCTGCGTACCCCTCACACTGGGTGAGGATGGAGCCGAGCGCTCAGCGGTGGCTTTGACCGCAAAGGAGGGCTTGAGAGCCAGGTGGGGGCCTCCGTGGGGAGCTGCAAGAAGGGGAAGTCTTCCTTCATGGCTTGCTCCGACAGCAACCTTTGCCGGCGGCACGGAGACCCCCAGATAAAATAAAGGAGCTGGCCGTGTTTATTCTGAGCCATGTGGCAACATGCGGAGCTGTGTGTCCTGCAGCCGGCTGCCATTGCCCGACCAGGAAAGAGACCTCGGGGAGTGTGGCAGGCGATGCAATGGGAACTTCAACCTGCAAATTTCAGGTGCAAACGGCAGCTTCCATGCTGGGCGTAAGTGGTAAAGGAACTTGGAGGGAAAACTTGGCCAAGATCACACTCTCCTTTGACAAATCAGTGCTGCAAACAGAATCAGAATACGGCTCTGGTAGTCTGGAAACAGTGCTGCTAAAATATCAAGGGAACTCCTGTCCTGGGGGGGCTGCGAAAGGTGGGATTGCGTTGCTTGGAAAAAAGGAGAGTGAATGAGACAAGATGGAGGTGTGCAGAATTATCTAGGATCTGGCCAGCGGACATTTTCTCCTGTTCGTATCTTTCTTGAAGGCTTTGCCTTGGTGCAGCTGGGCAAGTATGGATAAGACAGACCCTGGTCTGATCAGCCGGGCTCTTAGGTTTTACCATCGTTTGACCCCTCCAGCGACGGAAGTCTTGCTCGGAAGGCCGAGGGAGCCAAGTAGGAGAAGAGACCAAGGGCCTGTTGTCACTTAGATGCTCTTCGTTCTTGCAGGTGGAGACCACACCATAACGTACCCGATCCTGCAGGCTGTTGCTGGAAAGTAAGTCGGAGCAAGAAGAGCCACCGGGGGTGACAGGCGGTGCGAGCAAACGCGGTGAGCCAGACTCAAGAGGGCGGCTTTGCAACAGGCTCCAGGTCCTAATCTGCACCTTGCATATACCTGGGCATTGTAGCTGAGCATATCGGGAGAGCGTCAGGTTGGCGCTAGCAGCAAAGGGCACTAAGGTCGCCCCCCCCCAACCTGACACTTCCCTGAGGACTTGGACTCCAACTCCCATTGTGGGGTCCCTGGTGTGGTCACGCTTGGCACGGGGCCTCAGCATTCACACACCGGCTCCTGGGGGCACCCCAGCCAGGGACCCGAGGCGGCTCCTCCCTGCTCAGAGGCACAGTTGCCAGAAGCCCCAGGACAGAGCCGAGCGCCAAAGCGGGTGGCATTAGCAGCTCAGAAGGGGGTCCCCAAACGGAAGAAGGAAAACGAAGGAGGGTCGGGGGTCGGAAAGCCCCGTGTGTGGCCATGAGGAGAGATCAGCCCACATGTTGTGTGCGCCTAACGCCCACGACGTCTCCGATGCCCTGGGGGAAATGCCGACGCCCCGCTGGCGCCCTGGGTGACGGTGCTCTTCCGTGCGTTCTGCGGCCTCTCCCGCCCCGCTCCGACCAGGCATGGCCCTGTGGGGCTGGTGCACGTGGACGCCCACACCGACACCGGCGAGCAGGCGCTGGGGGAGAAGATCTACCACGGCACCCCATTCCGGCGCTGCGTGGAGGAGGGGCTGCTGGACTGCCAGCGGGTCGTCCAGATTGGAATCCGCGGCTCGTCCTACTCTCCAGAGCCTTACAAGTACTGCCAGGACCAGGTAAACCTCGCTGCCCGGCCTCTGCAAGGGGCTGGCCATGGGGTGGGAGGCCGGGCACAGGCGAAGGCCAGAGCCCAGCAGGGGGGCCCTGGCAGCTGCCCTGTGGGTTTGCACCACCAACCTGGTAGTCCCCCTGCCCCTCATCGTGGCCCAAGCGATGCTGGTGGCAAGAAGGGGGAGTGAGTGGAAGCGGGAAAGCAAGAGCCACGGGGCCCAGGAGGGGAGAAGGCCGACTCAGGGCCAGGTAGCTGCTCCTCCTGAGTTCTGCTCGAGGCGGGAACATGGCTCACTTCAGTCCCACCTGGATGCGGCTTTCAGACCCTGCAGCTCCCTCGCTCTTATAGCCTGGGTCCTTTTCCCATTGTATCCTCAAAGCAACCCCGCAAGGCAGGTGAGCCTAAGAGTCAGCCACGGGCCCAAGCTCACCCAGGGAGCGTCACGACTTGAGCCGAGGGTTCTTTGGCCCCAGGCCAACACCGAATCACTGCACCACCCAGGTGCTAAACGATCCAGGCCAATGAGAGAGCGCGTGGCACCGCATGGAGATCCTTTCTGTGGGCTATTCTTCTTCTCCATGCCCGCCCCTGCATGGAGGCACGCAGGAGTTTTGCAGTCCGTCCTACAGTCAGTGTTGTTTTGCCGTGTTTTCCAGCACAGAGCGCAAACTTTTAAGGTCAGGCCAGGCACGGATGAGCAGAGTGCTTTGGCAGGCGGCCGATTCGTGCGGTGCTCTGTACACGGTGTTCAGAAACAGGATGGGGGTTCCTAATCGAGAGATGCTGGAGGGAGCCCACTTGGCTTGCAAATGCCACCGCTGCAACCCCAGGCTCCTCCGGCAAGAGGGAGAAGCCACCGGTTCTGGAGAAGACGCTTCACCCCTTGAGACCCAGCAGAGCGGCTGCTGGTCCAAGCCGGCGGTACAGCATGCAGGGGAAAAGGTTTCCTGGTCTGAGGTGTCCCCCCCCCCCCCCGCTCTCTCCCATGCCTTTCTTTATGCAACCTTGTGCTACGGATGCCTCTGCTCCACTTGAGGGACAAGACCAGGTAGCTGAGGACCCCCCAAATCCAGGGAGAAGTTTGGCTGGGGAGTTTCAAACCTGCCTCAAGCTAGGCGTCTCCTCCGAGCACCCGAGCCAATCCTTGGGGAAAGATGGGCAGGGAAATACTTGCGGGTGAAGCGCTGCTACGCGCACTAGGACTTACTCCCAGGGGAGCATGTGCAGGATCACAGCCTTTGCTGCCACACCCCTCCAACGTGCATGTCTTGCATTTGCGAAAGCCCTGCCTCTCCGGCGGGGGCGTGGGGGGCAGATGTGCCGGAGCTCGCCTGCTCTGGCCACAGAAATGCTGCTCCTTGGCCCTGGATCCTCCACGCGAAAGCGCCCGCCTCCGTTTCTCCCACCCCAACAGGGCTTCCGGGTGGTGCTCGCGCAGGACTGCTGGCTGAAGTCCCTGGCGCCTTTGATGGCAGAAGTGAGAAGGCAGATGGGGGACAAGCCCGTTTATATCAGCTTCGACATCGACGGAATAGACCCTGCCTACGCACCGGGCACCGGGACGCCCGAAATCGCAGGCCTCAGCCCTGCCCAGGTAGAGCACTCGCAAGGCAGGCTGCAGGTGCCGGAAGCCAGATGCCCGGCACATCTGGAGGGCGCCACCTGGGGAAGGCCGCGTGGCGGGAGGCTCCCCCAGGGGCTGCTTGTGCCCCGTCTCCAGGCACGGAGCCAGGTCGAGCCCAAGCCATGGGAGCGGGGCCTAGCAATGGGGCAAAACAAGCCCAGATCGGAGCTCTGGCCCCCCTCTCCACGGGGGGAGGGGAAATGGGTGAGGCGCAGGAAGGTGGTGTCCTCCTCAGGGCCTGGCGTGGGGGGGGTCAGGCCCCCGGAAAACCCTCCCCATGTCCTTCCACTGGGCTACCACAAGCCGCCCAGCACCCATCGCAGCACCGGCTGCCGGCACTCGCGCCCTTTTCAATCTGTCCCGATCACTGCAAGCATTTCTCCCAGGGCCTTAAGCCAGCGGGTCCTTGAAAAAGTTCCTCTCCAGCCCACAAGCTTTCCCTTGCATGCAAACAGGCTCTGGAGATCATCCGTGGCTGCCGAGGTCTCGACATTGTCGGGGGCGACCTCGTTGAAGTGGCTCCCATGTACGATGCTTCTGGTAAGTGGACAGGCCATGCGCCTCCTCCCTCACACAGGAACTTGCTCCCCAAAACGTTGCTCTCCTCCGATCATCTTTGACTGAGCCCCCCCCCTCCAATGCAGGAGACTAAGTTGGCCCTGGCCCCGTCTTAGAAAGGACGCTGAACCAAGCGTGATTTGGACCCAGTTCCCCTAAGCGGAACACGGTGCCCAGCTCCCTTCCCCGCACCTGGGGCTGCCACAGAGGGCGGGGGACCCGTCTGTTGACTGCAAGGAGACATTGCTCAGCTCAGCTCAGCTCACGGGAGAGGCTGGCATTTCCAAAGGCCGGCTTGCTTTGTGAAGGCAAACACCCTGACCCTTTAAGCGGTTGCTCATGGCACATTTTCTTTTCCACTCCATTGCTTGTAGGCAACACGGCCCTCCTGGGAGCAAACCTGCTATTCGAGATGCTGTGCGCCCTCCCCAGAGTGAAGACAACATAAACCATGCGAGGGAAGCTTCCATCTCAAGATGAAAGGCCCTTCCGCCATTCCCACCCAGAATCAAGACGCCGTTTTCCACTTGAGCTGGATTCATGTGACTAACTTTCCACCTTCTGTGCAATAACCAAGACAGCCGGAACTGTTCGTGGCTGTTTTCATGGACAGTAAAAGTATTAGTAAAAGCCACCATAATTTTCTAGAATGTTTTTAGAAACTGAAGTTGCTAGTCCTTATTGCCATAGAGAAAAACTTGACAGTATATGTGCGGCTCCTGCTGAGACCTTAGAGGGAGGAAGGTGCTCATTTGTCTCTTGGTAGCCATTCTGCATGGAAGGCAGGAAGTGGGTTTATAGCACTGGATGCCGTTCCCCTGCCAACTTGTCCTCTCTCTGGGCGACATGGATAAGACAGCACATCCAAGCATAGAGTAAATTCGGTTTGTTAATCAGCATAGTTTGTTGAGAGCACAGAGAAAAAGCCTTTTCCTGGACCCAGAAAAAATTCCAAGGTTTATCTTAGGGGGTTGAGACCTTAGAGTTCGCAGGAGGTTCCATCATTTGGGGTGTCCCAGCTTTCTGTCTTTCCCACCCCTTCTGGAAGGCTGCAAAGCTTCCAGGGCTTCATGGGCTGCCCTTGAGTTAGGAAGAGCCGAGCGGGGCTGGCGAGGATAGGACTTTCCGAAGCGCTTTCATTCATAGGGCTACCTAAGTCGGAGACAATTTGGCAGCACAGAAAAACAATGCTGCATTACTGGAGAGAAGAGCCTGCAGCGGCAGCAGCCTGGCATTTGATCTTCTGGACTCCACTCTGTCTCTGCTGATCACAGGAACCTGCTCCCACGGAGCTCTTCTGAAGCCGAGTTTGGCCACGGACTGCAAGAGGTTCCTTGCCCCGGCTGTCTGTCAGCATCCCTGTCCCTGTAGCAGTCCGAGGGATGCGTCATTCGTCCATGCGCAGGCGAGGGAAATGCCCCTTCCCTGTGGCTTGAGCCAAGGAAATGATATTCAGCAGATCTCCGCCCCACAAAGGTCTCGATTCTCCTGTACAGTCATAAAAAGCATCTTCTGGCAGCTGAGTTCCATCAATTAATCCTATGCAGTGTGAAGGATATGGAAAAAGGAAGAGAAATTTATGACCCCAAAAGGAGAGCTCCCTGATTGGTAAAGGGAGCTGCTTATGGCCAGCATATTCGAGCAACGGTGGGAGAACTGAGCTGGCTGCCGGGCCAGGTTTTAGGTTTTGATTCTACTCGACAAAGTGCTAAAGAGCTCAGGACCAGGACGCTGGAGAGATGGGCTGATCCCTGCTACTTGGGGGCATCCAACATTTTGGAGGCCTGGTCCAGCACAGCTTGGAACAAGGATTGGAGCATCCACCTTCTAGAATCTCCACAAGAGATGGAACAGGTGCCAAACTTTCTGGGTCTTCATCACGTTACTCAAACCATATTTTTTCCAGCAGGCATTCCTAGGAAGGCAGCATTGGATGAAAAAAGTTTTCATTTTGCTTAGAAATTTCTTTAATGTAAATGACCCATAAATGTGGTAAAAGAAATAAGACTCCAGGAAAAAGCTGGAAATTTATGGGGTGGAATTCAGCACTGTTGTCTATTGCCAAAGGAGGTCCGGTCTACCTGTGTGTTGCTTTAACATAAGACTCACTTCAAACCACCTTCTGATCGCACATTAAAATAGTTTATTTCAGTTGCAAATCCATAAGAGATCTTAAAGCAAAACCAAACCAAAAAAAAATTTGTGCCTGTTCACAAATACAAAAACAAAACAAAAAATAAAAATAAGACAATTTGCCCAATAACTTATTTATTCCCTGCCCTCCCTGACAGAGTATCAAAAGTGCAAAGTATTTATCTTTCTTTTTGAACCAGTCCCTTCAACCTGGGTCAGACGTTTCTTCATACCAGCTTCAAATCATTTCTGTCGTGTTTCTGGAGGAGACAAGATGGCTGGCACAAGGAGGCTGTTGGGGGCGCCACATTGATGTCAAAAGCAAAAAACAAGCAGCACACGTGGGATCGGATTCTACATTAACATTTCCCAGAATGGTAGCTTCAGAAAGCCGTTCCACAGATCTGGCAGTGGAAACCCCCTCCTTCTGCAGACCATTGCAAGAGAAGATCGGTTCGATGTGCAGTGTGCATTTCTGGGTTAACGGGTTCAGTCTTAGCAGGAGGTGTTCATCGCCTGGCAAAGCAGAGGCCCCGCTCCGGACGCGAGCGGCAGAGGCTTTACACCTTGTGCAGAGGAAGGCCGCTCAGGCAGCAGGTGCAGCTCTGTGTCAGTGCCCAATTCCGTGCCGAGGGGGCAGCCTTGGCGAAGAGGCACAAAGAGCAGGGGCTGCTCCGTGCAGGAACCAGGACCGCCATCAGGCCCAGCCGCTCCACCGCCGAAAAGCTGCCCCTCTGCCGGCCATGTTTTGAACTGGGGTGATGAGAAGCACCGCCAGCCTCTGCCTGGGACATCGCCCCCTTCTGCAGGCACCCAGCCCTGGGCAGGACGGCAGCCAGGAAGCAGCTGGGCTGTGCACCACGAGAGCAGCACCCCCAGCTCATCCCACGCACTGTCTGAAGACGCCAGGGGCATTTGAGCATCAAAAGGCCTGCTTGCCTTTTCCTGGGCCTCCTCAAGGAAACCTGTGGCATTCCAGATGTTTCTGGACTCTTTCGTGGCAACACGGTCAAGGGCCGGGGGGGCCGGGAGTGGTCTCCCAGCAACATCTGGAAGGCCACCGGTTTCCTCATCCTGGGTCTGCCTGGAGGCTCCACCAGCCACATCTGAAACCTAAGCGCATCTGAAGCATGCGGCCTGAGCTGAACCCGGTGGCTGCAGCAGCAGCTGGCCAGACCATTTCCTCGCTTCGCCTGTCCTCCGCTGGGGCACTTAACTCCTCCTGCCCAGGCCGGCTGCATTCCGCTGGCCCTGCAGCTCCACCGCTTCCATCTCCTCTCTGTACGGACCTTCCCTCACCGAGTCCGTGGGGAGCCACACAGAGCCGGATTTGCAGTCTGCTCAGCGAAGTCACCACAGGTCAAACCTCGAGACCCCATTCTGCAAAAGGCACTTTGCTCCAAGCGGCCGAACGGAGTAACCGGATCTTTGGCCTGGATGCAAAGAAACCTGACCCACTTGCAGTGGCCTGCCTGGAGCAGACGGCAAGACAGACAGACGGGGCAGGTCCAGCACGGACGGGGAAGCCACGCCCATGGGAACTGGAGCACCATCCCGGTCGCTGTGACAGACAGAGAGCAGCTGCTCCCCCAAAATAGGCGTGCAGGCGTGCATGCCTGCGTCTCTCCTGAGCTGCTCCTGCTACAAGGGGAGGGCACAGGCCCCGAGCTGGGTGGGCCCTGCCACAGCCCCAGCCGCCTGGCACAGGGCTGCACGTGCTGCTTGACAAATGCACCTGGCGGGCTCCCATCACAGACCGAAGCTCAGTATCCCACCTGCCCATTCTTCTGCAGGGCCATCCTTCTGAACAGAGGTGGGTCCCTGCAAGACCGCTCTCTCTGCTCACACACTTGGCCAGGTTGGCTCGCCCCATGGTCTGAAGTTTCTCTCCGATTCTACCCTCTCAGCCTGCAAAGCATGCCGGCAGGCTCCGGAAATGGAGAGAGATTCTGCAATGTACTGAGCAGCGGATTCCGAGAGGGGTGGGAAGGGCCAAGGAATAGCTGAGAGGCAGCCTGGCGATTTGGTAAACATCTGTCCATCTCAAGAAGAGTTTCCGAGAGGCTGACAGAGCAGAAATGCAAAGGGGCAGGACTTCCATGTGAGTAACTGCAGTAGTTTTGAAGGCGTTTCAAACCAAACCTATCCAGGGAAATACAATCATTACAGAAACAACACAAGCTCCTTGGTACAAAGAAACAGAATTAAATTACTGTCCTAGCAATGAATCGGGAGATTCCATTTTGGAAAAGAAAGAGTTATGTGGAGAGCGACTCCAAGGCAGCAATTGCAAAGTTGTTTTTCACATGGCTCTTGGCTTGTAGCAGATTATATCTACAATCTATGGACATGATTTGAGGGTAGGAGCTCTAAAATACTTTAAAACGAAAAACCAGACATGGCGGAGGCAGGACGGCAGCGGAAGGAACACAGATTTTAAAATGGCTCATCGACTTGTACAGTTTTCACGGCTCGCTCAGCCACTTCCTGCCCTGAGAGAAGCTTAGCTGACAATCCACAGGTCAATTTATTGCACCCAGAGCTGGAGGGCATGAAGGAAGCTTAACAGCCCCCTCCCCACATTTCTTGACCCATTAGCCATGTGGTAGAGAGACCCCCCCCCCGCCATACACACCCTAAATTGTCACTTCAGGGGGAAACCAGAGGATAATGGTATGGCAAAGAGCTCAATGAGGGCCAGCAGCATGCGTGGGGCAAGGAAGGCAGAGACACCTGAATGCGCACAGAAGGTGTGCCATAAACTGAAACCAGTACCTGAAACAAAGACAAACCAGTACACAGAAGAGCTCCCGCAGCAGCAAGGCCTCCGTCAACGCTGGTGGAAGCCCCGGAGCAGGATGGGAAAATGGGAGAGGATCGGGGGTGGGGTGCTCACTGCTGTCCTTTCCCCACTGTATAGCTCCCCAACATCCGGAGCCGTTTCGATGCCAGAGCGGATGCCGGCGCATTGCTTCCCACTGCTCCAAGGTCAAGGATGTGGGAAGGGTGCTTCTAATTCACTGGGCCTAGGAGAATTCACCTAAAAAGCTACTGTCTATCCGACACAATGTAAAATTCCCAAAGGAGAGACGCTTAGGGTTGTCCTCTTTCCAAGTCTGCAGTGATAAGATTCTCCTTCCAACCCCGTCTGAAACCTTTATTGTTCAGTCTAGTGCAGGCCACGAGGGAATATAAAACCGTTTCAAGGAGCCTTCCAAGAGTCGTTCCATCCACAGGGATAGCCTTTCCAGTTTGCTTTTCACAGACTTCGCCTGCGGGCTGCCCGAGGGGGGCTTCCCCCGGGCCTCCCCCGGCTGGGCATCCTCGCAGGGCCGCCCCGAGACGTCCCCGTCGTCATCCGACCTGGGAGGCTTGAAAAGGCAGAAGTACTTCTTGTGTCCGTTCAGGGCCAGTACGTAGCCAGTGTAGTCACGCTCCAGGAAGTGCTTGTCGTACTGATTTGGGATGGGTGCCACGTCCTGCGCAAACTCCAGGACGTATTCAAGCCATTCCCGGTGCTTGTCCAAGTTCAGGAAGGAGAAGTGGAGGCAGTTGCTCCTGGGAATGGCGATACAATGAGAAGAGGCATGTTAGCATGTCAGCGTGATGGAGGCTCGCACTCGGATCGGGCGGAGGAACCGGGACTGCGCCCTCCACGCAGGACACGCGCGGGAAATTAATCTGGAGGCGGGGAATCTTGTGAATAAACGGCTGTGAACAATCCATGAGGGGCACGATCCTAGGAGTGGTGAGCAGAAAAAGGGCCCACCACTCAGCATTCCCCGGCTGGCATTTCCCCCCTGACTAAACAGACAGAGCACTGTGCCCTAAGAAGCTTAGCTCCTATGTCCCAGGGCACACGCTGAGGAAATGATCACCGCCTGGACCTTTCTGCCTTTCCATTTTGCAGCAGCATCTTAAGCGGCTCACCGCTGCAACGATGCCCGTGTTCTGACCCCAGAATAACCGGTCCCCCCGCCCCCCACTATCACAGCTTGCCTCTCCCACCCCGACTGAGGTCTGTATCAGTCACCCACTCGGAACACGTCCTGCCTCTGATGAAGCAGGCAAGTGGAGAGAGAGGCTTTTGCGGGAAGAAACGGAGCCATGAGTCGGAGCCACAGGAGTCTCTGTTCCTCAGTGCAGCTACCCCAGTGCAGGACCAAGCACGACCCTGAGTGGGGCCAGGATGGGCCCCGATCTCCACCCCATGCCACTTCCAAGGGCCCAGGAGAGCCCCCCAACCTTCAGGCCTGCCACAGACATGGGGGCAGCGGACGGAGGGGGCTCTGGCAGCCCACGGGCTGGACAATGGCTGTCAGGGCCGCCCGCCTTAACCGGAACGGTAGGAGGGAGAGACATGGCGGCCATGCTTGAAATTCTGCACGGGGCGGAGGGAGGGGACAGGGAGACAGTCTCCTCCCCCTGGGGTCACGCGGCGAAGCAGATCGGTGGGAGCGTCGGGACAGATAAAAAGAGGCTTCTGCACAGAACCGGGTGTGGTGGGTCTGTTAGGCTCCCGGTTCTCCGCTAAAGGCATGGGATGAAACCCAGCGGGAATTAAATCCAAATCAGAGAGGAACTTGCCAGGGACAGGGCTGGGTGTGCGTGCACAAATGCGCCTCTCCTGAGGCCGGGAACGCTGGGGGCGCAGCTGGGAGGCGGAGGAAGCGCCAATCTCGCCCCCAGCCATGTGGGCAACGTGCTTCAAGCACTGCCCCAGCGCTCTCGTGCGGAGCCACCGCTCTCCCCCTGCAGCCCTCCCAAGATCTGGGCCCGGCCAAGCCACGCTGGCCAGCCGAGTGCCCTCCACGCACCCGGTGAAGCTGTAGACCTCCAGGGCAAACTTCTGCAGCAGGGGCGTCCTGGTGGGGTTTGAGAGAACCAGCACCACGTTCATGTGCCCAGGTCTCAGCCGCACCAGGTTGCTCGTGTAGGTGATGTTCGTGAGCTCCGTCACTTCTACGAAGCCCTTCTTGGGGACCCTGCAGGACAGGTGGGCAGCAGTTTCCAAGGATGGGGGAGAAAACCACAGGGTCAGTTCAAACGAGCGCACCATGAAGTCTGGAGCGAAAAGGAAAACGAAAGCCACAGGTGGAGGACAGGAGGGAGATGGCTCTGCCGCCACACGTGGGACCCAAGACGTCCTTGGGGACCTCCTAGGAAAGTTTAGACGGAGAAGCGGCCTGGGGTTCTTGGCTGCTCAGAGCTGCGCGTCGCAGGCCCCCTTTCTGTCCTCCCTGGCGCACACTGCATCCTGTGTGGCTCTGAGGCGGAGCCCGAGGGGGCAGTGAGAGGCGGCGGCCAGAGAGCTGCCCGGATTAATCAACGCGCAGCGTCTCGGTCACGGGAAGGTGGGAGCTCTGCTCTGCTCTGGCCGTCGGGCAGCGTTCGGAGAGCTGCGGCCCGTTCTGGGGAGGACATGAGCAACCCACGCGGCGCAGGCCTGGCGGCACAACCAGACGCTGGGTGCCGGTTCCCGAGGAAGCACGGGAAGAGCTGCGCATGCGCAGGCAGGACGGGCTTCGGGCATCGGAAGCCTGCTGCCCAGGAGAGGGAGCGGCCTTGCTCTCGGGTGCTCCAGAGGACGCAAGCGCTGAGGGAGGACGCCGATCTCGGGGCAAGGCTGGGGCGGCTTCCTGGGTGGAGCAGGCTGCTTCGGGAGGCGGCAGGCTCTGCCCCGTGGAGGTACGCAGACGCAGCATGGACGGCCGCTGGCCAGGGACGGTCAGTCCCTGAAACCGGACAACGCCACGATTCTGAGTGGGAGAAGAAGCTGCAGCGCGAAGGCGACAGGCACTGGCCTTGGAAAAGAAGGGCGCAAGAGGCAGGCCAAGGGGGCTGCAGGACGGCTGCTTCCTCGCGTGTCGCCCACCTGCTCTCGCTGGGGTGCCCTCCCTCTCTCCCTCCCACGGCCGCTCGCCCCAAAGGGCCTCTCAAGGCAGCTTCAGACACTGCTGCCTCCTCGCATCAGAGGCCGGGGGGACCTTCCACAGGGCAGCCGCTTCCCATCAGCCCTTCTGCCTTTCACCAGGAGAGGCCAGGAAATCAAGCCAACAGGCAGAGGGGCTCTCCTCTGCACACACAGCGGGGCCGTGCCAGCGAAGCATCCCCTTCTCCACACAGGCTGGCATGGGAGGCTCCAGCTCTCCGGCCACCTCTGCCCTGCTCTGCAGGGGTCCCGGCCCGGAAAGGTCTTTTCCGTCCTCTGCTACTCAGGGCCTCGTCCGGCCTCCAACGCACGGGTTCTTCCACGCACCCTGCAGTGGCGAGCATGGACAGCTCCCAGCCTGCATCCCCGCAGGTGCCGGGGGCGTGCGGCGGGGGGAAGCAGAGATGGCCTCGCCTGCGCAGGGGACGGAGGCCTCGGGGACCAGCCCTGGCGCTTCCTGCAACGGGAACGGCGAGCGAGGCCTCCGGGCAGAACTGCCGCAGCTCTCGGCCCTGGCTCTGGCCCAGAAGAAGCAAGCAAGCAAGCACAGGAGGGAAGAGGAAAGCGAGACCCTAAAGCCTGACAGAGGCTGGACAAACCTGCTGTCTTTGTTGAAGCTCGTGTCGTTCTTCTCGCCCTTTGTGGGGCCTTCATCTTTCTTGGGGACCGGGGAGTCTCTCTCGTCGCTCGAGTCACTGAAAAACAGCGAGGGATTCTTTGGGTGAGCAAATGCCTGTTTGCAGATGCTCTAATGAAAAGCAGTGGAATATCGACTGATGATCCAGGTGCCTTTGAGGAGCCCGTTACTTTTAACGAAACCACGCAGGCATGCCCGTGAGAGCAGCGCAGGGCGGAACCGGGAGAAGAGAGTGCAAATACAAAGGAGAGAGAATTATCGGGCGGCGACTTACCTGAAGGCCTGCACAATGACCGTCCCGAAGAGAATGAACAGGGCCGAGAAGATCAGCGACAGCAAGGGCATCATTTCTCGCCTGTAAGAGAGGAGCCCGGTAAAGGGCAAGATCCAGCGGGACTTCCTCTCGCCTCTGGACGGAGCTCCGCCTTCCCGGCAAGCCATAGCTCCCTCCCTCCCTCCCTCCCTCCTGTCTGTCTGTCTGTGTGAGAGCGCTTCCCTCCTCCCTCAGACATCTCTCCCAGGGGTCGGGGTGCCAAAAATGTCTTGCGCACTGTTCTTCACTTTTTTAAGAACTTTTCAGTGGATTCCCATCTTCGATAAAGTACAGGCAAACTAATTTAATGCAAATAAAAATGTGCTGCGGAAAGCATCTGTTTTTAACATCAGGAGACACAAGCACTGAATAAAGTGGCTCTGGGGAACTGTTTTGTTTTGTTTTGTTTTGTTTAAGGGACATGTCCCCATGGTGGAGGGCAGTCAGAAGTCACACACTGCTGCCAGGTGAAGCCCAAGCCGAAGGGGTGCCCGGCACGTCCCAAGGCACCCCCGCATGCCCCCCCCACCATGCTTGCTGCAGCTCCCTACAGCTTGCAAGCTGAGCCCTGAGAAAGAAGCATCCTCTGAACAGCACCCAGCAGGGAAATGCGGCTCCCTGGGGAGGGGAGGGGAGGCTATGAGCACAGGGGCCTGCTCCAGCTTTCACCCAGCTCACGGCCAGAGGCTCCCCACCCGCGACCGAACAGGCCCACTGAGCCCAGCACTGGGTTTCTCACACTGGCCGGCCAGACGGGGCAAGGGCGTCCACAAGCGGGGCCCGGAGGCAGCCCTCCTGCTCTGCTCCTCAGGCCTCAGCACTGCACTCTCAGCCCCGGGACAGGACGGCTCCCCTTGCCAGCAGTAACACCCACTGACAGGCCAGCCGGCCATTGGGCGATTACGCTTCATTCCAACTTACGGCCTGCTTTGCCGAGTTTTCCCACACCCAGGGTGACTCACAACAAAACACCAGGGCAAACCTCAGATTGTCTGTGTGAACGAACAGCCTGCTAAGGGCTCAGGAAGCAAGAAATGAACTGCATCTCCCAGTGGCCACAGCTGAAATGTCAGCCCCCCACTGAGCACTGCTCTCATTTTTGCTTTTTGCCTTGAAGGCTTCCAGTTCTGCACAGTTGCATGTGCTGCACGAGGGGAGTCGAAACAAATGAACGAAGACCCAAAACTCAGGCCTGGAAAGGAAACGACGGTGGGACACTCAGTCCGACTTGGTCAGTCTCGTTACCTTGACCTTGGAGGCTGCTCAAAGGAGCAGCACAGGAACTCTGCCCTCTACTCCAAGGAGTCTTCAGTGGGCAAACCAAATACCATTTCAAAATACCGCAGACCTTTTCAGGGTCTTATGCCAACAGGGAAACATGCCAATGGAAGCAGGAGGGCTGCTATTAATGCAGACGTCATACCAATTGCTATGGAAAAGGCTGTCCCAGCAGTCCAAGATGTAATCTGTGGCAGAATAGATCCATCGAAGGAAGAAAATCTGCAAGCAGAGGAGGAAGAGGAGGGAGAGAGGGAGGATGGCTGCAGGGAGGGGCTTCAGCAAACAGCTCTCCCCGCTAGGCCATCCGCTATAGACAACCCTGCCATACAGGTGCTAGGGGACGATGGCTGGGAATGATGGGAATTGTAGGCCAGCACAGCTGGAGTAAACCAGAGGGAGAGACTGGTGCTTAGCAGCTACCTGCAATTAACTGACTCAGGCAGGAGCAGGGCTGCAGGGCAGACCCTGGAAATCCATGTGTGGATGTCCCCTTTGCGGTGGATTCACACATGCAAATCGCTGCCATGTCCACCATTTCCCCGGCAGCCCCCTCCTCCGTAAAGCAAATGTGAGACACGCTGCAAAGCTGCCTGCTGAGCGAGCGCCGGGAAGGTGCGGAACCCAGCCGCGTCGCCCAGTTCTCTCCCGGACGATCCCAGATCGGAGGACTGCAAAGGTATTCTTGGAAACGTGTGGGAGAGGCAAGGGGCGGCATCCCAGAAGGCAGAAGCCGTGCCGAACAGGAACAGGGAGGTCCCTTTTTTGCGGGGGGGGGGTGCGGTAGGGCTATTGTGCCCTGACTAGTTTGTTGAGCCCTCCTCAACATCAGTGGCACCCGCAGAAAACATGCCAAGCAGCTCTCCTCTCCTTGGGGCGAGATCTTGCTTGACGGGGGCACATACAAGCTTGCCCAGCCACAGACGTCCCCCATGCTCTCTTCCAAATTACGTTATTTGCTGAGAGTCGTTCTTGGCTGCCTTCCCAGGCTCTCTTGGAGGAATGAGGCCAATGCCCGGCTGCATTCCCCCCCCCCCCCCTTCCACCCCCCTCATTCCCAGCGTGTGGCCTGCTGGGGCAACTGGCCATGTAGGCCTTCCGTGGGATGCTGCAGGGTTTGAATTCCTCCTTCGCCCCTGCCCCCCAAAATCTGCAAACCTTGGGGTTCCCCTGGACATGCTGATGCCTAGGCTACTTGTTTTATTTTCAAGGCCACCGTAACTCACATAAACAGTAAGAATAAGAATGAGGATGCTGGAAACATGTTTTCTGGGAGTGAAGGTTGCAATCCTGTTTGTAGAAACCTGAGAATAAGTGGCACTGAAAACAGGCAATGACACATCACATCAAGCTGCAGGTCTTCCCAAACTCAACAGGACTTGTTTCTAAACAGGGCTGTCTAACTCTTATTTTTTTTTCTTTTATAAGGGCATTCTTCCCTTAATGCTTTAGCTATTTAAGTTTTTAATGTTTCTTTTGATAAGATTGTATGGTATTTTATTTGTCGTGAATAAAGCCAGCTGGAGCCGGGGGTCAGACTAGATGGCCTGGGAGGTCCCTTCTGACTCACTCTGTTTCTATACAGAACATTGATGCAGGTGCCTTTCTGAAGTGTTGATGGATATTCAAGGGAACTTCACAATCTAACTAGTTATGAAAATGAAAGGTTCGCTAAGGTTTTCCCCATTTTATCCTTTCCCACAGATCAAGATAGCTTCAGAAAATAAACTAGTGTGCTTTTAAGTCACAGTCCCTCTGTTTAAAATTGGCCGATATCGATTCACAAACTATAGCTGCGAGTTAAGAACTTTGGCAATTAATCTGATCCAAGCCAGAACCCTTTGCCCGTCTACTCAGGAATAAGTTGAAGTGAACGTTTAGGCCTGCCAGTCACAGAGCACCCCCGCTCCCCCAGCATCGTAGTAAATGCCAACAATGCTTACGGGAGCAAGTTCATCATTCAAGTCTTGCAGGACGGCCTCCGAAGAAAGAAAGCCGGGGTTAGTCCTCAGCTGATCCAAGAGATCCAGAAGGATGAAGCTGTCCTCTTTGCTACCACTCCAGGGATCTTCGAGGGCTCGGTAGACCACTCGGCCAACGTTGTTGCGCCTCTCCAAGATGACCACCTGGGCCAAGCGATAGGAGACCAGATCACAATTTGGTGGGAGAGGTTTCAAACATCTGTCCGAAAGTAGCTGGCTAGCAAAGGGCTTTCACAAAGGGCGCTCTTGCTCGGACTGGGGTCAAAAGTGTTGAGGGGCTCATGGAACCCCAATCCTGGAACTCAGAGTGGCAAGATCTCTAGACCAGAATTCCCCGTGCATTTCAGCTCTCATCTGCTGCAGCCCACATGTCTTGCAGCGCTCCTGGAAGGCACCAGGCTGGGGATGGCTCCTTCGGGCCCAAGACACAGGCCTCTCTGGTCTGCAGCAGCCCCTGGAAACCTCACCATGGTGGGGCCAACCTGGCCACCTGAATCACATCTGCTTGAGTCACTGCCTCACCACCCGATTCCTCTTTCTCAATGGGCAACAACTCAGTGGCGTCCTGGACCAGCCAATCTATATTCCGCATTGCGCCCGTATCCCTCTCATGCTTGCAACCTGTTTGGCCTTCCATAAAGTAAGAGGATGGCCCAGAAATTTCAGGAGTATTTTCGGTATCATGCAATGGTTAGAAAGGCAATTCACCAGGCAATGCGGGGATGTTTCGTTGGGTCCGATACAAAGTGTGCTTCCTGCTCCGATTTTTGCATGGCTCCCCACCACCAAGGACTGATGAAGGCATGTGGGACGGGGCCTCGGGCAAACTGGGTCCCAGTCCTCCCTCGCCCATGGAGCCCACTGGGTGACTTGGGCCAGTCACAGACTCTCAGCCCAACCTACTTCACAGGGTTGTTGTTGTGGGGATCAGATTGAGAGGAGGGGGAGAATGATGTGAGCCACCTTGGGTTCCTCAGAAGGGAAAAAAGGTGGGACATAAATATAAATAAATAAATCTGGAGGTGGCGGGAGGTCACTCCTAGCTGGCAAACACGGCTTATATTTCAGCGTCAGCCTCTTCTATTTTCTGTTTTTTTCGCAGCATTGCCAACAGCGACCCAGAAAAGAAGTGTTTCTGAAGTAAAATAGGAAGAGGCACAGGACTCGGCTGGCCTGGCGGACACACTCACCGCCGACTTCCCGTGGAACTTTTCGTCGTCTGTTAGCAAAGTGTGGGCAAAGTTCCGCTGGGAGCTCTTGTGGATGTGCACGAAGCGCAAGGTGTCTTTTGTATTGGCCACCGCAAAGGCAAGGAAGGCTTCGTAGCTGGCGGCGCACTTGTCCCCTTCGTTGGTGATCAGGACCACGCAGTATCTGGCGCAGGAGGAGGAAGGAACATGAAACACAGAGGACTAGCCGCTTTACTAGGGTAGTGATGCGGAAAGGCATCCTTTGGGCAATGGAGAGAGTTGCCAGGGAGGCTCTCAATCCCTTCCCAACTGGCCTGAGACCAGAACACCCACGGCCCTCCAGTCGGCATAAGAGAGAATCGGGGCTCCAGCCTCCCCTCGCCGACGGGGAGGGCTGTTTGATGCCGAGCCCTCCAGATGTTGCTGGGCTCTGCCTCCCACCACCCCTGGGCTCAGACGGGCAATGCTTGAGCATGATGGGGTTCGTAGTTCAAGACATTCTAGAGGGCCAGAGGCTCTCCAGCCTGGTTTCGAGCAAACTCCTGCCTCTGAAGGTGCCAAGTACCAAATGAGGCTGCCTCCGTGACCTTCAGGGATGGAAGCTCGGCTGTCATCTGAGACATGCGGCTTGCCAGGATTCTTCTGGGTCCTGGCCGGTTTCGACCTTTAAAATCCTGGCAGCCAGGATTCTTCGCCCCTCCCGGAATGAGCATCCAAGCCTCCGCTCAACAGGGGACTGTTTCACTGATTAAGGACTGAGAACCAAATCTGCCTGGGTCTGAACCGGGCCTTTTGAGCAGCGGTTCAGAAACTGGCCTGTGCCACTTTTCCTCCCCCTGTGCACCCCTTCTTTTTAGCCACCCAATGTCTCCTCTTTTAATTGCATGTCTTTCTACGGCATTACAGCATGACTCCTTTTTATCACTGATGTGAACTGCTCAGAGAGAGATTTCTCTGAAAAGGGGGATAAAAATGGCAGTAAATCTATCAAGAGGATGCGGACGCGGTCTTGCTTATCTCTGCAAGAAAAAACATTTCAGAACGAGAAGACGCACGAGGAATTCTGCCTGGCTGCGTCATCAGGGAAGCCTGCCACCAGCTCGCCACTCACTTGCGCTGTCGGTGAGACTTCTTCACGGGACACAGCTCCTGGAAAAGCTTCTGGCTGGTGAGACGGGATGCCAGCAGGAACTTGTTCTGGGAGAGGAAGTCATCGATAAGCTGCTTTCTCATGCCTCGGGCCTGAAAGACAGCAGGAAAACAGACGGCCAATGGAGTAAATGTTCATTGATAGATCACATGGCTTTTAGATGCATTGGCCAATTATCAAAACCTCTCAAGAGATGCTCCTTTTTGAGATACTGAAGGAACCTAAAGATAAACTTAGCCTTGAACCACACAAAAGCTACCAATACAATGTCAGAAAGAATAAGACGCTGCTCGTTCGTCATTTCCAAAGAACATCAGAACCAAAATGCCCTCAGTAGCTAGGGCCTATTAACCTGGGTTGGGCAACTTCTTGGATTCCAGGGGCCAATTTCAACCCCCGGGAAGCCCCCGGGGAGACACACTAGTGCACATGCACCTGTGCACTCCTGCACTTCCCGCTCCCTCTCCAGCTCATGATTATGGGAATGCAGAGCTGGACAACTACCACCAGGCGCCCTCCGCCAGCAACCCTGGCCTGCTCCAGCCAGCTTGCCAAGCCACTGGGCACGAAGCCGTTTCTTAGCTGATTTTGCTGGGAATGGGTTGGCAGGGAGGGCTGCACTTTTGCAGCAGGCTGGTGGGGGCCCCGTTCTACTAGGATATGAGTGAGGAGAGCCTGGCTCCTGCCAGCCCAGCAAGGAGCTGATCCGTGTGCCGCAAGGGGCCCACTTCTGCTGCTGCACAAGGTACACGGGAGAGACGCTCCTCGCATGCTCTGTGCGGCCGCCAGCTCAGCGGAGTGTTGGCGAGAGGACGCTCTGGGGGCCTCCACGGGCTGCCTGCAGCTGCAGGTTGCCCTCCCCTGCACTGGCCAGCCGTTTAACCACGCAGCTGATTAGCCTACTGATTCAAGCTTGCAGTCCTGCTCGAAGATGAGCCGAGGAGGCAGCAAAACCCTCAGATGGAATCATCTGGGCTTGGTTCAGGCACCACAGGAAAGGAAGTCCCGCTTTGGTACCATCACCACAATCCTTGGGCCCGCCTGCTCTTATCAGGGACCCCACTTAAACTGCTTACTTCTGCTCCAGCGGGACCATATTCGGACCTCATATCCGATCAGGAAGCTATGGTCGGCACTGGCCCTTCAAATCTCCATCGCCCTAAACGGCTGCAGGCTATTTTGGCTTGGTGGCGCTCCCTGCGAGAAGATCCACAAGCTGCCACCCCTCCCTCCCTCCCGTCCTTCCTTCCGAAGGAGAACTGCTTCCTCCCTTTAATGCCGTAGCCTTACCCTGAAGCAAATGCATCCTAGATACATGTAAGCGCACAGCAATTTCCTCTGCCTCTCCACAATCCATCATTCCGCCATCTCCTACCTCATCCTTCCCTGTAACAGCAGACTCTGGTGCTGAGTGCCAACAGCAGAGTCATGAAGAACCAAGAGAAATTCTGAGGGTTGCAGAAGAAGGACTTTTTTTTTTTAAGAAAAATGGGGTAAAAACACCTGAAGCAGCCTAGTGAGCCTGCTTGGTGGGAAGTCAATGGAAAAAGAAACATGGGACACCGAGAGAGGTGGGGACTGGAAGGACTCACTTCAGCTCTTTGCTCACATGGCAAGAATGGAGAGAGTAGCACAGGCGTGCGTTGCGGGGTCACGGCTCAGTTCGCCTCTTAAGCCACATGGTATTCACTGCTATGAGCGTGCAAGGAGACAAATGTTTCCGGAAAACGCCTTTATCCACCCTGGCTTCCCTGTAGCTCAGTGGTGGCGAACCTCTGGCACGCGGGCCACCGCGGGCACACGGAGCCCTCTCTGTCGGCACACGAGCCCAGTCGCCCCAGCATCGCCCCATCGGCCGAGCATCTGATAACAGCGCACACAGGGGCCATGCGCATGCTCGGAGAGGAGGAGCGGTGCCAGGCCATGACGTCAGGAGCCGCAACTCATTAGCCGCGACTCGCCTGAGTTTTCGCATGGCCGGTCAGCGCGCTGCCAAGGATATATATATATTTGCTTGGACTGGCTGTGAGTTGTTTTTTCTGAACTAAAACCTCAGTTTTCAGGTTTTATCGCAGTGTTGGCACTTTGCGATAAATAAGTGGGTTTTGGGTTGCAGTTTGGGTTGGTCTCTAAAAGGTCCACCATCACTGGGTTAGGGTTGGAAAAATGAGGTGTCCTTGCACGATTTTGAGGGTTGTGATGTATTTAGAATGGGCAGAAATGCTGAGCCGTGCACAAAAAGCTACTCAAGGGAGGCTTTTTCAAAATCGCCCCTTTCAAAGGTATTTTATTAGGGTTAGGGGAGAGCACCTGGGTAGGGTTGGGGCAGTGGTGGCGACCATCTGGAACGTTTCATTGCTCCCGCTTCACTCTGCATTGTTAGTGCAACTGTTCTTTACACTGCATGTTACGGGAGCGATCGTGTGGCTTCCTGATAGCGCCTCAGTAGCCACAGGGCAAGCCGAAGTCCCAGCTCCAGCCTTGGAGAACTGCTCCAAGGTGCAGCTGGAATGCCAGACTGGGAGCCTCCTCCGTTTGCCCCTGCAGCTGGCACGGCTGCTTTGGCGCTGGCTGCGGCTACAAGGCTGCAAGACTGACCTCGGAGTGGGCACTGGAAGGGGACGGGGAGGGGAGGGGAGGGGAGAACCAGGCCCTGCTCTCCTCCGGAGCTTCTTAGTGGAGACTGCAAAGGCCTTCCTTGCGAGCTAGAGCAACTCCCTTAAGAGGACGGCAGGAGTGCCGAGGCCCCCGCTGCCCCCGTGGCCCATGGGACGCCGTAATCCCCAGGACTCGGAGGGGTCGGAGCAGCCACACCGGCTGCCGCTCTTCGCGATTCTTATTTGCAAAAGCTGAAGCGCTCACAGGCAGCGGGCAAGGCGTGCTACCTGAATGACATCTGCAGGCTTATCGATGTGCTCCTTGAACACCATCATGGTGGGCGTGTAGACGTTGATGTTATACTGGCTGGACAGCTCTTCAGTCCCTCGGAGCCCAACGAACACATACCCGAAGGACAGGTAATCTTTGTAGGCAAACGCAGTCAGCTGGAAGAGAACGAGGGTCGGGCGGCTCAGGACGGTCAGTCTCCTGCTCGGAAAGCTAAAGGGGGCCCTGCTCCGTTTCCCATTATACGTCGGCCTGCCCCCGTCAAGGAAGCGGGGGAGGAAGAGACGAGCCTGCTAGCCGTATGTCGTCTAGTGAGAGCGTTCACAGGCCGGAGGGCGGGTGGGGAGAGCCCTGCAAGCAGGCCAACCAAGGCGGGCTCGGCATTTCGTCGGTTTATAAGACTTAATCGCAACCTGGGCTTCAGACCCATTCAAGGAAGCAGCCCCGCGGTAGCCTCTGTTGGAGAGCCACTTTGAAGGCAGCATCAGGGCAGCCCTGAGCAGGCCTCCCCCCGAGCACAGGGTGGCTGCAAATGTGCGGGGAGGGGGCATGCGAGACCCTCCGCGACACCCCCGGCGCACAGAGCTGAGCACGCATCACCCAGGCCGGAGAGCTCCAGGGAGAAGCAGGGCCGCTGCAAGTCACCCTTATAAACCGAAGGGGTGTCCAGCCCGGCTGCTTGCTTGGGCTCTCAGGGTGTTCTGCTGAAACCAGAAACAGCTCTTCGTCGACGCTCCGGTTCTCTGAGAAGTCCCCTCCTCTTGCGTGTGCAGGAGAGACTCTTCTGAGCGCATGCGCACGACAGGCTCTCCCCACCCGCCCTCCGGCCTGTAAATGCACTCTCAAAGCGACATACACCTACAGGCTTGTCTCTTCCTCGTCCACTTTCTTTCCAGGGCGCCAGAGCACAGCAAGGTTATGCAACATATTTAGCCAAGAGCACTCGGAAACTCGTCAGACCTGAAGGTGGGCCCCTGCGCCCCGCCCTTACACCCCTTGAGCGGGCCTGCAGCCCCCCCGCCCCGGTCCCCATCCGTTTCTGGGTTGTGCCTCCATGCAGCTTCCCCCGGCACACGAACGCTGCCTCTCCCGGACACGGAAGGACTGCGCTGCCTTCCCACCCTGCCTAGAAGCGTCTTCCTCTGGAGTGCTCAGCCCACAGTGACCCCAGGGCAGGCCCTCTTTGGGCGCTGGGATCACTGGACAAACGAAAGCACCTTCCACCACGCCAGATCACCGGTCCATCTGGCCCAGCACTGTCTCTTCCGTCAGAAATGCAAGTGGAGAAGGCCCTCTGCCCCGGAGCCCTGCCTCTGAATTCCGCCCCCAGGCAGTGCAAGGGCGAGCTCCCAGAAGCGGCGGCGAAAGACCCCGCCACGCAAGGAGGCCCGAGGATCACCACTGCTTCCAGCCTCGGAAAGCGGCCTTATGCCAGGCACGGGAAAGCCGGGTGCAGGGAATCTACCTTGTATAAGAGCGGAACGAGAGGCATGTGGTCAAACAGGAGGACATGCGGCTTGTTCTCCTTCTTCCAGTTTGACAGGAACTGGATGTAGGTTTTATCTGTAATCTTTGAGGTAAAGCAGAAAAAAAGAGTCTTAGTCCACAAACAAAAAGGAACAGAGGAGATGGTTCTGCTGTTGCCTCAGATAGAGGTTTGAAATGGGCTAAAATTAAAACATTCTCGTAAGGGTCAAATGACATGCTGTGCTAGCAGGCATGTCTGTCTCCTGATGTTTATCGACTCATTATCAATTTGTCCTAAAAGTGGTGGCTGTGGAAAGGTGCACTGCAAACTGAAGAGTGGGGAGTGGGGACATGATGTCCTCCAAGGCTGTCACAAAGAGGAAGGTCAAGATCTCTTCTCGCTGATGCCAGAGTGTAGGACACGGAACGTCAACCCAGATTCAGGCTGGACATCAGGAAAAGCTTCCTCAGTGCCAGAGCAATGCAACAGTGGAACCAGCTGCCTGTTGAGGTGGGGGGCTCTCCCACACCAGAGACATTCAAGGCGAAAATGGACAGCCACCCGAGTGGGATAGTGTGACTTGGTGTTCTGCAACAGCAGCGGGGTGGACTTGATGGCCTTCCTGGACCCTTCCAACTCTACTATTCCATGATTCCACGAAACTGATTGGGAAGCAGAAAAACAATCCCCCAATTCCCACCCACCAGGCCATTTTTCTGTATCTTTATCACCTCCAAGCTGCTCTCTGGTTGCAAAATCCCCCTCACCCCTGCCTAGCCTCCTGGAAAAGGCATGTAGAGGGTGGGAAAGGTTTCAGCAGATAGTGGCATGGGGAATGGATGACCATCACCCCTTTCCACAACGCTGCCCCAAATCAAAGGTATCTGGTACCCGCAGTATCTCCCACAGCAGCATATAGCAAAACAGCATGGTGCCAGAGAAAGCCAAGGACCACGGATCTTCCTGATGAGAAGGGAGGTGGGGCCCTGAGGAAGGAGGTTTTACAATACTTCATAAAAAAAGCATTTTTCTTACTGTCTGGCAGCAGAGAAAAATATGGCAACCAGACATACGCAGCTTCCGGATTTAGCATCGCCTCATTTCAAAACAAAAGCCCCCAACTCCAAACTTCCATTATCCACCCCCTATTCTAGCTATTTTAGACCAACTGTAAGAAACAGATGAACCCAGAATCATTAAGACCCTAGATAGGGACACAGCATTGATGAAAAGCGTGTGAGGGGAAGAGAGTTTGTGTTTGAATATAAAAGGTGTGTGTGGGGGGGGGGGGGGAGGTCTCCAGTAAATTCCAAAGGAAAAAAAAACAGGAAAGAACGGCTTCAGGTAAGCCAGGAGGTGCTCATTACCTTCTCAACAAGGTTCGCTGGAAGAAGGCCCTCCACAAACTGCCGCAGATTCTCCCGAACAACCGCATTGTGGAAAAAGGTTATTTTCCCGTTGATAAGCCCCAGGATGGAGGGTGTGCTGTGCGCGCCCAGGTGATGGGCCAGGCGCCTCTCGTATCCGGCATGAACAACGCCGATCCCCACTCCTGAAAGAGGGAAAGGCAGACGGCTTCAAAGTGGGATCAGGCATCTCGACTAAACTCCCACACAACTTCCAAACAGGGCGGCTCAGAAGCAGGACGGCTGCAATCGCCGCCTGCCGTGGACTGAAGCCGTGGGGATTGATCAGAACTACCGTCTGGGCTAGACAGGAACTACCGGAAGAGCATGAGGAGGCTCTGCAGGGTCAACAGGGGCTGGAGCAAACCTCGCCAGCATCCAAAAGCCAGAGGAGTTTCTTGAAGCCGTGCCTCCTGGCCTCCCGCTTGCCAGGAAGCGCAGCAGGGAGGGTGGCCTTGAAGCGCCTTTCCCCACTCGTTCCGCAGACAGGGCTGCCTCTGCTCCCCGAACAAAGCTGCCTGCCTTTGCTACAGCAGCAAAGGCAGCCCTTCTCTGCAGAGTCCGTGCGCCGCTGCCAGACTCTGCCACAGAGCGGGGAGGACCACTTCCGAATCTGTGGCAAGAGGCACTGCCAAGCATTCTGGGCCTGGGGGGAGGAACGGATCTTCCAGGCGACTTTGGAGGCCCACAGAACAACCCCCGGCCTGTTCAGGAGCCGGTGCAGCTACGGAGAAGGGGGTGCACAAGCTCTCTTTCGCATCTTTATATTCTGCACCCATATTTCCTCATTCTGTTCAGCCAGCTGTGTATCATCTTTGACGCAACTGGTTTAATTTCTTCCTAAGTAGTGTGACTCTTTTTATTACTGGCTAGAGAAACAGGACTTCGTATAGATTTAAATATGTTTTTAAGTTATCATAAATAGAAAAAAATGTGGGGGCTGACCCAGTAGGTCCAATGTTTCTGATGACTGATGTTGTTTTTAGTTTTCTTTTGTTTTAGGGTTATTTTGAATAAAACTTGTTATTAAAAAAAAATCTTCCTAAGTAGCCACAGGATGACAGCGAGGTGCCTTGGCTGAATCACAGCACCTGTGACGGCAGTGGCAGCGGCCGAAGCGCAGCCCCACACGCTTCGCTTGCAGCTCATGTGCTACCTGCAGAAAGTGCCAGGTGCTGGAAAAGGCGCAGGAAAGGACAGCCAGAATGCAAGAATGCCTGGGATTGCTGAGGTTAGAGGGAACGCCAGAGAGGGAGTCCTCACAGAGGCGTGCTGGGAGAAAGTGGAGACAGTTTTCCCCATCCCCAAATACTCAAAGCCATCCTCTGGGGCTGGTTGGAGGGAAATTCAGGACAGGTCAAAGGCAGGCCTTCTCAGCAGAGCACAGAAGCCAAGTTAATCTGCACACATCCTGATGCAGGCGGCTGCTAAAACACACTGCGAGCAGAACGCTGGACCAGAGAGGGCCCGCGTCTGATCGAGCAGGACCTTCCCTTGAGCTCTCTGGGCAGGATTCCCTTTTTGCTGTCCTGCTGCAGGAGCAACAGACCAATCCAGTCACCACCGAAACGGATGTCCAAATAAAACAGGCACAGCCGGGCAGGCCCCTGCCTCTCTCACCAAGCGCTTCCAGCTCCTGGACCACCTCCTTCCACACAGGCTCAATGTGGATGCAGCTGAAACACCAGTCGGACGTGATCTTGATGAGATAGGGCTTCCTGAAGCTGTCGGGCACGACCTCGTTCACGTAGTGCGAGAAGTGCAGCAAGTACTTCTCGTCGGAGGAGTCCCGGCGGTCCGAATTGAACGGGAAATGGAAGAAGGATTCGTCGAAATAAAAGCTTTCGTGGAAGTGGTGGAACGGGCGCTGCTGCTGCTGCTGAGGAAAGCCTTGGTTCTCGTCCACGTCTCCATAGCGGTCAAAGTTTAATCTCTTTTCCTCGTTCGACAGGATCTGTTTGGAACAAAAATGGAACAGCCTGCGGTCACTGCAAGCTGGAAATGTATTTTCACCTCCTTGTTCTGTTATTCCCATTTTTCTAAAGCTACAGAATAAAAAGTCCAAGCCAGGACTTCAGTAAGCAGAATGGAAGGGCGGCAGGCTCTGACTTCATCTGCTGGCTGGAGCACCGGGGCCCCAGGCAAGCTGCTTCTCCTGTCTCCCAGGAAAGCATCTTGACAAGGGAAAGACCATCCACAGGCCAGAGCCGCAGAAGCCGCACGGAGCTTCCTTCCTCCCTGCCAGCAGGAACACGAAGAAAGGCGCTCTAAGCAGCCAGTGCCTCAGCTTTTCCTTTTTCCCTCCCTCCTCCAGATCCCTTCTATTTGTGTCGTGTCTTGCAGAGGGCAGATCTCAGGTTGACGAGATTGACTTTGTTTTTCACTCTCTCTCTACAGTCACCAAGTGGAACCAGTGTGAAATGGTGGCTCAAGAAGGCAAACAAATGATGGCAGAAAAAGATGCCTCGGCGCACATGCCCAAGCCAGGAATTTATGTTTCGTACCAGAAAAACAGAAAGAAATCAAACCTAATTTCTTATACACACACACCGTTAGTAAATCTATAAACACATCCCTTTAACCATCTGCATAAAATTCAGCACCTTAACTCTGCCCGCAAAGCAAAAGACACCCAGTCTGTGGATCTCTCTTGCCTTCATGCCCCATTTCATGACTTTCCAGAGGTACCTGGCCAACAAGGATGAGCAGAATCTTTGGTTTGGTCCTGCAAAGCTCTCCCAGTGGACTAAGCTCTCGGTGGACTGATCTATTTGCTGCCCTTAGCTATGATAGCTTAGTGGTGCTTCTTTGTTCAGAGGCCGTCTAGATCCCAGTACATGATGCTGAAGGCAAAGCTTGTGAGCTTTGGAGAACAGACGAAAAGCCAAAGGCCTATCCACTCCAGCGGCCTGTGGCCAGTCCGCTGCCTGTGGGAAGCCCATGGGCAAGCAGTGAAGAGAACAGCAACCTCCAGCTTCTCCAGCACTACCATGACTGGTAGCCAAGTGCCTTCTTGCCACGAAGCACCTGCCCGGGAGGCTGTCCACCTGCAGAAGGCGCAAGGCCGTCCCTTTGCACAGCATCTTCCTATCACCAGAAAGCCTTTGCACTCAGCATCCAACACTCCTCCCCTCCCATGAGCCTTCTAGGACACATGCGGGCGGATCCCCAAAGAGCTTCCTCCCCATCTTCCTCTCCCAAACCTCTATGGTGCCTTTACTATGGTTAGACTCCAGCTCCCAGGTGCCCTACATCCTCTGGGGCAGCCCCATACTCCCCACCCTCGCTTTAGGCTGAAAGCCTGCAAGAAGCTGCTTTGTTTAATTTGGGGGCTTTAATAGTCGTGGTTGTTGCTGTGACGTACCATCATGTGGCCTCTGAACTGTGCCTCTGAATTGCTGTCTTGGGCAGCCTCTTGTCAACTGAAGGCCGGGGCTTCCGTTCCGCGAATGATCCATCGTATAGCTGCTCTTCCCCTTCTTAGTCTGCCTTCAATTTTCCCCCAGTAGTAATGTCAAATAATTACCGGAAAATATATTGAAACCTATCCGGACTCTCCTTCATGGGACTCCAGACCAACACTTTGGTTGCTACCTGTCCGGCTCAGTCCACGATAGGACTGTGAGCAGTGGGGGGGGGGGGTTATGGGGAGCCCCTTTAGGGTTAATAAAATTCTTGTTTTTACTTCTGTCAACCTCAGAGCTTCCTTGGGGCTGCTCTTCATCTCTGCCATCAATCACCACCTCAGTTTACCATCAGAGAGAATGATAACTTTCAAAAGCCCACTAATTATAGAAATTCTCATTATGGGCAGGCAAATCATCCCCAGAACTTTAAAAATAAATAAATAAAACCACTGAGGGATGGGGGCCTACAGAACCCCCATTTTACATATAACTTCAAGAGAAGTCCCAGTGCGTAGCCACCAAAACTAAGAGCCTCAACGGAGTTAAACATGGTGTAAGTTGTGCAGGGTTCTCAACCCTGTGCTTTTAATCCCAATATTTAATCCATTCTACTACTCTTAGTTCTTATAAGTGACCTTGGGAGAAACATGCATTCTGCGCCTGCCTACCAAGCTTGGCCACTGGGGCCCTTGACTCACACACCTTCGGATACAACTAAACCAGAAGGCAGGAGATCTGTGCACTAGATCACGAGGGCCGGTGCCTTGCTCTTCAGGTGAAAAGCCGTTGCAAGATGACGGAGAATCCACAGACAGTATGCTGACTTCTGCTCTATTTTCCCAGCCTAATTCGCACATACAGAAACCCATTTGATACCTATACAGTTTCCTTTGTGGACAAATATTACAAAGGGAGAATTTTAACACAGGAAAACAGCTCAGCTGGGATGGGTTCCCCCACCAATGTTCTGGCACAATCCGATGTGGGTCTCACTACATCTGCCACCGACTTTTTAAAAGAAAAACACCAATATGTTAGCTACCCTGTGGTTGGGTGCCACAGTTTAAACAGAAGGACCTGCACTCCTTCCAATACCATTTAAAAATCCACAGATCTGAAATAAAATGGAAGCAGCCAGAACTCCCATGCGTAAGGGAGAAGGGGGGCATGTTGCCCACCCCAGCAACAAAGGCTATTCTTTAAAACAACAATTATATTATAGACTCTGCCAGACACAGATCAAAACTTGGGAAAGTCTCTCAATACCTCATAAGCCTTGCTGATTTGTATGAACTTATCTTCTGCTCCGGGGTCCTTGTTCTTGTCAGGATGCCTGGAATGAAAGCACAGCAAGTCCATCAGCAGTGTGATCATGCAGGCATGAGTTCAACATGGGTGTCGTGGCAAGAGAGGCAGAACTGATACTAATTACAGTGCATGTTGGCCAGCCTGACTTTCCTCGCCATGGAAGTGCATCTATTGTGGGGGCTTTTTGCACTGTTGCGGCTGCTGCAAAGAGCGATTTAGCTGCACACGGGGCACAGACTTTACAGAGGCGGCAGGCTCAGCTGTGGAAGGAAACAGACAAGGGGTGTGACACGCAGGGCAAGGAAGGCCCAATGTTTGAGGAACACCAGCTCTGTGAAGCCTCCCGGCGTTCTTGAGTTCTTGCGTCACTTTGCACACGGCTGACGATAGCTGCCTCGGCTGCCAAGGCCTGCCGCCTGAAGTCCTTTACTAGAAGCCGCCAAGCACTGTAGGGAATCCTATGCGTGCAAACGCATGCTCTGCCACGGAGTTACGGCCAGTCTCTGCCGCCTGGGCATCCGCATCTCTGCTGGCCCTCTGCCTGCTGGCACGCCTCCCCCCCCCACCCCCACTTAGTCACTTAGTCTTCCTATCTGTGTTCTACCTCCCTTCCTGCTATCGACACAGAAACACCCAGTAAGTAACTAAGCCCAGGAGTACCCAATATCCCAGCAAAGAGCACTTCCTCTCTGTACAACTTCTGACACATTTTCCCCTCCACTCCCCCCAGCCAAGCTTCCTGTTTGCCCAGCAGGCCACAATAGTGGCAGCAAAGGCTGGAAGGCCTAAAGAAAGAGGCAGCCAGTTGTCAGCCCAGGGGCCCAGAGAGGACACGCCGGCCTTCTGCTCAAAATGCCCTTCCTTGGATTCACTCACCATTCTCGGGCAAGCTTCTTATATGCTTTTTTAATGTCTGCCTGACTGGCCGTCCTGCTGACTCCAAGGATTCGGTATGGGTCAAAATCAACAGCGGACAAGATTTGCAGGGCCAGGATGAGGAACAGGATCACAACCAGGGAGACGCTTAACCTTCTCATTTCCATCTTGCTTCCTGCGGGAAATGTGCACAGAGTGTTTACTGATACAGAATGCAGAGCAGAGACCTGAGGAGCAGCAACACAGGCGCTCTGGAGTGATGGTCATGGACTCGGGCGCTTTTGTCCTTTTCCAGCGGCCAACCAACTTGCTCTTCCCTCTCTCTGCTACCAGCATCTCTTTTCTTTCTTTCTGTCTTTCTTTCTTCCCTCCCAATTCCCAGCCTGTTTTTGAAAGTTCCTTTTCCCTGGCCCTCCCATGTGGAAATGAGATTGAGACCACCCCAGGGCAGAAACAGGGGTGGAACGAGATGCTGCCTCTCTTCTTTTCAGCTGGACAGGAATTGAGTTCGGCTTCCTCATCTGGACACACTTCCTTTTTTCCAGTTTCAGCAAATGGGCTACCTCTCTCTCACACGGAAAGTGTGGGGCTCCAGGAGTCAGCTGGACGCCTAGTTCCAGGCTGGGATGTCTCTGGTCAGTGTGGTGGGGAACAGAAATAGTAGTTTAAGCCTCAACCTTATCCATGTTTAGACAAAAAAAAAAAATCCTCTAACTCTAAGCTTTCCCAAACCAGCATGTTTTCCATCTAAACATAAACAGGACTGTGCCCTTAAAAAGAATAATTGATGGCATCATGACAGGTACATAAGGGGCCAAGAATTTTTCAATGCCTGCATTTCTCTATGGATGATTTTCCATGGTGAAAAGGCCATTTTTATAAAACCAGATCACAAAACCTAACTAAACACTGTCAAAGTACCGACTAACTTTTCCACACATACAGAGATAGCCTGCATAGCTCTTTAGATATGATAAATGAGTACGTTAATCATGTTTCAGCACCATCATTTTCCCCTCAAGGTAAAATCTTGCACAAGTTTAGACAGAAAAAAGGGCCTACAACTCCCAGTATGTCCCAGTCAGTCATAGGACCTTTTTCTGTCTAAACTTGCATAGGACTGCAGTCAGTGTTTTAATGAATGAAAAGCAGTGTATACTGCAACTGCTGGGGCTTCAAATATCAATAAACAGTCCACTAAAAATAATTTCCAAGTCAAGCTTTGACTATATTTGAATGCAACAATTAAATCATATTAAAAAGTGATTGACTACTTCCTCCCAATCAAGAATTAAGTCCTACTACTTTGAATTATTGAAAAAATCCATTAAGAGATTTATGGAGAATGTAAAATTATTATGCCTTTTTGCTTACTAGATAGAAATGAAGAATGCTAACTCAAATATCATTGATTCACGGCATTAGCAAATATTAAGATGCAAAACAGCCAGAACATCTGGAGAATCCAGCCTGAGGCTGCCTCCTTCTATAGACAGAAATCTTTTTGAACTCAGCAGAAGTTATTTCTAAGTAAACATGATGGATAACTGCATATTTGCTTCACTTATTGAGGAGTAAGTCCAACTGCACTTAAGGGGACTTACTTCTGCTTATTTCCAAAATAATCCTAACCCAGTGAGACAGAAATGAGGACAGGAAGCACAGATAGGGGATGAAACTGGAAAGGACAAGCACACAACTATTATTTAATTAGTTCTGGAGAGGATGCTGCAAAAACTTGAGCCATTCATACATTTGTTGATTAAGGCGCCAAAAGCCTGTTTGTTGTTTTGCTAGTGTAACTGAGAGGCTAAAGACACAGCCGTTTCTCTGCAAAAACAGCAAAGCACCTTGTGGCCAGCTTAAGGATGCACAGATCAAATGGGTGCAGGGTTGTGGTTAGTTTGGGACTGAAGTTGGACTCTCCCACTGGTGGAGGGGAGGGTGGAGGGTAGGTTCAGTGACAAGCCCTGATGGCTGCCTCCTCATGCCTCAAAGGTATAAAGGGGTATAAGAAAGATGCAGGTAACTGCCCCATATACAAATGTAAGGAACCTGCCTAGCTAGGTGGGGCATAGCTCCATCATTCCAGCTTCCAACAAAGTCCAGCCAGATGCTTCAAGGAAATCTGCAAAGAGGAGACAGAAGCAAGGCACAAACACCTCTTGCCTGCCCCAGCTCAGCATTCCACCCCGTCCCAAAAGAGGCTGGCCGGGGGATGCTTGGAGTCACAGGCCAGCCCGTCTGGACGGAGGCACCACGTGGGGCACGGCTGCAGCTTCCCCTGGGATAGGCCTCCCTTCACACGTGCAGCTCCTGGGGCTGAGAGGCTGATCGCCAGGAATTCCTGCCAGCCCCTGTGTCATAGTCCGGATGCAGCTTCGGTATTGTAGGCCACGGGAAATACACATCATAATGGGGGGGGGGGGGGGCTGGGACGCAAGAAGAGAAGTCGCCCCCCGCCCCATCCCCAACCCAACATGGCATTTGCCAGGAACCCCCCAGATAGCAACATGCAATACTGCAGCTCCCCTGTACTTCCTCCCTCCCCCTCTTCCTCACCTAACGCAAGGAAGCTTCTCCCCCACCCCTCCCCACCTTCATCCCCGGGAAGCTCCCTCTGAAAGAGGCCCCCCTTCAAAACCCTCTTCTTCTACCCCCCCCAGCCTTCCCTCCTCCAGACCAGCGAGAAAGAAAGCGGGGGCTAGAGAGTCCTCCTCCCCTCCGCAACTACAGGTCACGTGGCTACTTGGGACGACACCCCCATTGGGGGAGGGGGCGGGAAGGGCGCTCTCCATACCCACCCGAGGCGCCAGTGTCCCCCGGACCCCACTTCCGGCTCGGCGGCCCCGCCTCTGGCCGCCGTCACCATAGAGACGGCGCAGCTTGGCCTCACTTGCCTAGAGTGACGTCCTCGGCGCCGCGGTGTACGGTGGGAGAAAGAGGCGGCCGACTGGAGGGAGGGGACGCTGCGCGCATGCGCGTCACACGCAGCGTGTTCTTGCGGCAGGCGCAGGGAGGTGGCGCTGCACCTGGAGCTTCCTTGCGCGCCGGTGGGAGTTGGGGCTTCGCCTCATCTGAAACGCTGGATTATAGTTAAAAGTTTGATGCAAGCAACAGCGCGCAGACGTGCACAAACTGTCATAATCTGAAATACGAACTTTCATTGGAACCCTCTGAACTCCCCCTAGAAATAGAAGCAACGTGCGCGGCCGAACCAATTTGCACGGCTTATAGTTACGCATTCATTGGCGCTCATGGTACATCCCCGCCGGTCCCAACCCTGCGCCCTCCCCAGCTGGTTCACTGGAGGCTGGACTGCAACTCCCATTATCCCCTGGGGATAGCGGGAGCTGGAGCCCAGCCCTCCAGAAGGCGCCCGGTTGCGACAAGCTGATCAAGAAAGGATCGTGCCGTTCATTAAAGGCCCAGGACCCGGACGGCGAGGCTGCAGGACGCCGCTCCCCGCGCAAGGGGGCGCCCGATGTCCTTATATGGGCGGTGACGTCACCAGGGGAGGGCGCGGGGCGCGGCCAGAGGAGGGTCTCCCTGCCCGGAAGAAGCGCTCCCGCGGGGCACCCTCCGCCCGGGGCGATGGAGGAGGCGCAGCGGCGCGTGCTGCAGCGGTCGCGGCTGCGCCTGGTGCAGGAGCTGCGCGTGGACCCGCTGTGGGAGCTGCTGCTGCACCGAGGGGTCTTCACGCAGGACATGCTCGAGGAGATCCAGGTGCGCTTCCGCTCCCCTCCCGCCCTTGCGCGGCCGGGTCCGCCGCGCGCCGCCTTCCTCCAGGGGCCGATCCCCGGTGAGGAGGGCGACAGCTCTCGCGTGGTCCCTTTGGTACGATCTCATCGATACCCTGCCCTTTCTCCTCCTGTGAGGAGCCCAAGCCGCCTTACAGGGTCCGCCTCCTCTCCATTTCACCCTCACAACAACAACCCTGCAGGGTTGGTCAGGCTGGGAGGCCAGAACCCCCGCAGGCCCAATGGGGACTCGAACCTGGATTTCCTGAGCTCTAACTACACTAAGTCGCCTAGCCTTTCCCAAGCTGTAGCCCTCCGGATGAGCTGGACTGCGCCTTTCATCAGCCCCAAGCAGGCTTCAGAAAGACCGCGGTACACACTTCGGTGGGAGCCAGCCCCGCTAAACTCAGTCGGGCTTACTTGTGGGTAAGCCTGTTTCATGTCCAGTGTCAGAAGTCCTAGCTGCCAGTATCCCCGACCGAGAATGCAGTGTCTTTCATGCCCCTATTGTTCCTTGGAGGCTGGCATCTTATACCTACTAACCTGAGGCTAAGCCCTGTTGAACCCAATGCTTCTCCAATATCGCACCTCATCCCTCACGTCTGAGGAGGCTCCTGCGGGATCACAACACTGGAGAGGTGTTAGGGTTACCTTTTGAAAATGCTGTTAAGGGGATTGACCGACTGAGCCATCTTCCCCAGGTTAGAGCCACTGCCTGATGGGCTCATTGACAATTCCCCCATTATCCTGAGCTGGAACGGGCAGGAATCCTCTTGAAGCCTCTCTAAAGCAAAGGGTATCAAAACTTAAGCGCCCAGGGTCTGTCCAGTCCAACTTTGTGCCTGCACAGTGGCAACCAGCTGCCCAGAGAAAGCCACAAGTAGGGCATGAATGCAAAAGCACCCCCTACCCATGTTCCCCAGCAACTGGTGCACACAGGCATGCTGGCTGTGCCATGGGAGTTTGCATAAGGCCATCTGTGGGTAAACCTTCTCCATAGAGTCATCCAGTCCCCTGTTATAGCCATCCAGATTGGTGGCCATCTCCTTGTGGAGGTGAATTGCACAGTTTAACTCTGCGCTGTGTGAAGAAAGACTTCCTTTTATCTGTCCGGAATCTCCCACCAATTATTCCTGACAGATGACTTTCTCCCTGAATTCTGCCAGGGACAGAGGGTCCACCACTGTTGGTTCCACTATCCAATCTCTTTGATGCTTAGGAAGTTTTTCTCATCTTCAGCTGAAATCTGCCTACCTTTTATTTCATGCCCTACATTTTTGGATGGATGGAGAATAGGGTGTGGGCCTCTTCTAGAGTACAAGCCTTTGGTTCCTTAAAAAGGACTCTCTGCCAAGGCTTGTCTTCTCAAGACTAAACATATCCAGTTCTTTCCTCTTAGGTCAGAGTTTCAAGCCCCCAGTTGTCTGCCCACACAACAACTGTTCCAAACTCATTCCAGTTTCTCTGAACCCTGTGAAGTCCAAAACTGGGCATGGTATTTGAATTAAGATCTGACCAGAGCAGAGTGGAATGATTGTGACCTGTGGATTTCAAAACTGCTTTGACCAGTACAAAATCAGTACATTTTTTGCAGCCCCTTCACTCTGCCGACTTTCCTGATTTTAGGGCTCTGGTTGGATGGTGGTCACAATGATGGTTGTTAACATTAGTACTGGGGATCCCCGAGCAGCATAAAAGGGGTTTTTTCCCCAGTAAAATGACTGCCTTTCTACAGATTCCAGGCAGGATAATGGGTTTTTGTCTTCAGAGATCAGGTACTCGCAGAGATCAAGCCAGGCAGCTGGTCACCGACCTGCAGACTCGTGGGAAGCAAGCGTTCCCAGTCTTCATCTGGTGCCTGCAAGAAACTGGCCAGACCGAGCTGGCCGCTTTGCTGAGCGAAGGATACAACCCTCCACCGTTGTGTCCCGTTGATGTAAAACCAGTTAAACCACCGTTGCGTCCTGGACACCATGACCCACGTATGTACGGATTAGGTGGTTCTCATGTTGCATTTTCTGTCCAGGATTCTGCAAACTCTCTCCCTGCTAGCAGGAAACTTGTATGAAAAGTTGTCCCGACGTTCCCAAAACTATTCAGAGGACATGGGCTAGGGAAGAACTAGTCCTTCTGTGAACATTTCTAAAATGTCTCGTGGCTGCTGTGTGAATGCAGCCTGACACACCTGTGCAGTTGCCTGGTGCCTGGGTGAGCATCTCTGCAAGCAGCTTCTCCAGACTTGCTCAGAAATACAGGTGTTGCTTTCCTTGCAGGCGCTGGAACGTCTGAACATTTGCCTTCTCCAGTTCAGCACCAAGAGCCGCCCCATCATGCTAACGCCACTCCGGGTAAGAACAGATCCAGTTCACTGCTTCCCTGGGGGAGTGATTAGGGTTCCAGGAACCCCCACCCATAAACCCACTAGAAAATTTGCTGAATGCCTTTGGGGTGTCCTCTAGAGACTCTGCATTTCACCTCCTAGCAGTTCTGGCCATTTTCCGGCTGATGATCAGCAGATGTGGAAAAAATCATGAGAGGGTCGAAGGTTGGCCTTTGGGAAAGGCTGCCGCTCACTGCCTGAGCAGGGTGCCCAAAAAGGGTAGGTGTCACCCCATTCAGCTGCCTGGAAATGTGCGACAGGTAACACATGTCCAGGTCATCCTGGGAGGCCCCGTTCAGAATGTCCTCACCTACAGATATGGTGAGAAGCAGGGCCTTTTTAGTGGTGGTGCCTTGGCCCTGAGCTGTCCCCCCTCCATTTGTGAGGGTCCCGGCTTACTCGTTTTTATTACTCTGCTGTCCATGCTCCTCTGCTTTCAGTCCTCAGATTTCGGGAACTGCTGCTTTTCCTGGATTGCTTTGTTTCTTTCTTTGCTGTGATTTTAAATTTTGCAGTGCTCTGTCCCCCATTCCTGCAATGGCCAAGTGTAGCGTTCATAGGTGAACTGATCACAGCACCGTTTCCTGCTTCTCATGCAGCGAATTCTGCCATCTCTGCAGCCAGCAATGCATGGCCGATGTGCCAGAGGTCAGCTTTGGCAGGTTCGGAGCTTTCCAAAGTCTGAAAAGGTCCCTTGGAGAAGGGCCTCCCTAAAAACTTGCAAGATGCAGGACTGAGGGCTCCAGCTGAACTCTGGCTGGGCTGGGCATGAAAACTAGCAGAGAAGGGCAATAGGAAAAGTAGCCTTCCCTAAGCTGGTATCCTCCAGATGGGTTTGATGGCCATGCTGTCTGGGGATGATGAGCCAGGTTATCATCAAACCCTCCTGGGATGCACCAGGTTGGAAAAAGTCCAGAGTTAAATTCTGGCAGACCCTGCATATGGCTCACTAGTGGTTTGTTTGTTTTTTAAAAAATGCATCTGCTTAAACACGCATAAGACTCTTACTAATTTCCTTCTTGTCTTGTCTTCTAGGCTCTGAAGGAGAGAGATCCAGGAGGAATTCTGAAATGGTTGGTTTCCCTCTTTTCCCTTCCAGATTAGACTGATTTTGCGGGGATGGGAGGAGCAGTGGGTTAGCTGTTTGCCAGGTGATCTTGACCTTAAGTTTTCCTGAGCCCACATAAACATATTTCATAAAATAGGATGTGCTACACAGGTGGACATCACTGGTTGGACTGTATTAACAAATGTTAACAATTTGGGCAAATACTGCTTCTTTCTACACCATTTTTCCTGTTAAAGCACAGTTTAAAAATAATGAAAATGGTATCGTTCTGCTGTCAGCTCGCCTCTCAGTGTCTCTCTGGCCGGAAATGCAAAGGCCAGGAAAAAACCAGAAAAGTTTGGAAAATAGCTTTTTCCTTGATTTTTTTCTGCCCACCCCAATCTGGTGCTCTCCAGATGTTTTGAACTACCACTCGCAACATTGCTGCCCGATGACTCTGCTGGCTGGGGTAGATGGGAGTTGTAGTCAGACTGAGGTCTTTCCCAACCGAGCTGCTTGGAATCCTTTCCAGTAGAAATCGGGGGTGGGGCGCTCCAGGCCAGCTTGAGGCAGGCAACTGGTTTTGTTCTCCTCTTCTGTGTTTGCCGGCAGACGTACACCCTGAAAAGTGACCCCTGTGGATCCTGCCTCATTATCAACAACGTGAATTTCAGCAAAGATACAGACTTGGACCGCCGCACTGGTTCCGATATAGACTGCGAACGGCTGGAGAAGCGGTTCCGGTCGTTGCATTTTGACGTCATGACCCGGCACGATCTCAAAGCTCACGTGAGCATCCTCAGTGACCGCCCCCCTCCCCGCCCCCGGTGCCACAACCCCACCGCCAGGGATGCTGTTTCTGTGGGAGCAAAGATCTCCCTGACCGAATCGCAGCGGGAGACTCGCTCTGCAGGTCCTCCTCCCAAGCCCCGGCTGGGTGCCGGCGGATGCGTGGCCTGCGATGGGTGGCCCCCCAGCCGCTGCGGGGATCCCTCCAACAGAGGAGCGCTGGCCACCTCCAGGGACGGCCCGTTCCCTGCTCAGGCAGCTCCCGGGAGCTCTTCCCTCATCTCCAGCCACATTTGCTGAGTGCCATTTCAGCGCATGGGTGCGATCCTGCAACCCCACATGTGTGTACCTGGGAATAAATCAAAGTCAGGATGGCTTCCTTTCGGGTCCAGCTGGGGTATATATGTCAACTTCTCCAGCTTACTCGTATTTCCTAATCATTTTGGGAGGTGGTGAAGCCAGAAATGGGGAGGCGGGTGACGATGCTTCTTTCTTTGAGCAAAAGTTCCTCTGGCAGTTTCCGTGGGGAGATTCTTCCTTCGGACTCGATTAGCCAGAGACAAGCCGGTGGGGCATGTGGAGGCGCTAAGGCCTCGCGCTCGGCCCTGGCTAGGCCAGTCCTTCCCAGTCCAGTCCCTCCAGGTGGACTGGGCACGTGCGCTCTCTTTAAGGGGTGGTCTTTGCAAATGCCCACAGGAGATCGCTCATGAGTTGCAGAGCTTGGCGAGGCAGGATCACACCTCTCGGGACTGCTGCCTGGTGGTGCTTCTTTCACACGGCTGTCAGGTAGGAGAAGCCGCTGGGGCATCCTTTGTGCACTCCAACTGTAAGCCGTTTGGGGCAGAGAACAGCACTTTTTAAAATCGAAGGTCGGTGTTTTGCGAACTACCAAGCGTATGACCAGTGCCGCATGAATCAAGAAATGTTTTGAAAGCATACACTGAAAGCTTTATTTAAAGAATTATGGCACGGTATTATGGGATGGCTGTCCTCAGTGTGTTGCTGGGAGGAGAATGGAGGTGACTTTGCCCCTCATTTCTCCTTGAAGAACAAAAAACCGCTCCAGCAAGGTGGGCCTGTGAGACGTCCAGCTCCCTTGCTGGCAGGCAGGCAGGGCAGTCGAGAAGCTGTAGGGCGCTGTGGCTCTTGGCTCTTCCCCTCCTGTCCTCGCCTGCGGGAACACCCACTCTTGGGGGGCTCTTAGAGGCAGCTGGGGGTCCACTCCAAGGAGGGAGCCAACCTCGGGTCACAGGAGCACCGACAGGTACCGGGGGAGCATCCAGAACATCCCGAGAGTCTCCCAGGGACCATGGAATTGCTCTTCCCACCAGCTGGAGGTGTGAGTTCTAAGCCAGGCGATTGTCCCAGTCTGCAAAGTGAGCATCCCTGTATTTGCACAGAGAGAGCAAGCATGGCAGTATGGCCTAGCAGTTAAGGGTACGGGATGGGGACCAGGCAACCAGTGTGGAGCTTTGGTGTGAGTGTGGGAGCAGGACCCAGGCAATCCGGGTTCGAGTCCCCGCTCGGCCATGGAGCTCCCTGGGTGGCTTTGGGCCAGTCACAGACTCTCAGCCCAGCCTACTTCCCCACGAAAAAATGCATGCCCCACCTCCCTCTCTGGAGGAGAGGGAATTGCCGGAAGGGCTCCTAGTGCAGCTCTGAGTCCCTAGGCAAATTCAAAAGCGTCCTTCAAATATCTGGTCCTTCTCAAGACCATCAGCAAACGCAGGGTGGCGGGAGACACCTTGGCGCCCCAAGCTGTGCCACGGGGGTGACCTTCCTGTGTCCGTTCACGGAGCCCTTTGGTCTCCTGCAGACGAGCCACATACAGTTCCCTGGTGGGATCTTCGGTTCAGACGGGCGGCGCATTTCGGTGGAAAAGATCGTCAGCTTCTTCAACGGGAACAATTGCCCCACCCTGAGGGGCAAACCCAAGCTTTTCTTCATCCAGGCCTGTGGCGGCGGTGAGTCCAGGAGCATCAGCCCATCCGGAGGAGCGGATCCCAGGCGGAAAGGGGCCCGGGGGGAGGTTTGTCATCCCACTTTCTCCACCCGGTTGCACCTCAGACAGGTTGAGCTGCAGCTCTCATCATCCCCAGCCACAAAGGGGCGATGGGTCTTGACTGGAAGGTCAGGGAGCAGGGTGGTGCACATGCCTGAGAGACACGTGTCCGTGTGTTTGCCTCTCTAGAGCAAAAGGACCGCGGCTTTGAAGTGGATTCTGACTCTCCCCGCATGCAGCATCGCAGTTTTAATGCCGAGTCAGACGCGCGCCCCTTCCAGGCGCCCTCGGAAGCCACGGATGAGCCAGACGCCGTTGCGAGCTTGCCCACCCCAAGTGACATCCTGGTGTCTTACTCCACGTTTCCAGGTGAGCAGGTGCTGCGTCCGACGGATGGAACACCTTTCCTGCTCCTGCGTGGGGCACGGTGGGTCGATGCCCTGCTGAGCTACACGTGCCGGGCTGTGGGCAGGCAGAGCAAAGGCTTCTCTGCTCTCCTGCACTGGGCAGGCGGGGGATAGCAGAATCAATCAATCAATCCCAAGATCCACCAGCCAGAGCCGTGTGCAAAAGGCATCACCTTCGGATGAAAGACGAGAGGGCCTCTGAGCGTGTGCAGGAGTTCGTCTTCTGCGCTGGAAACGGCAGGGATCCCACTCCTGGCCACCCCAAGCTTTTCGCATTTCGCTGGTTTTAGGTGGGAGAAGTCACCTCACTGGTGTCAAGGGAGTGGGAATCGGGGGAAGCCCTCGCCGATCTGCTGCTGATCAGCCAGAGATCCACCCGGAGGTTCTGCTTCAGCCTGTGGACCAAGGAGCAGCTTTTGGGCTCTGTTGGAAGATCCAGGGCACACGGGAGGGACTGCTAATGCTCCTTCCCACGCCAGTGTCTTCCTTTCCGGAGGCCTGGAATGGTGTAGAAAGGTGGAGCAGCAGTGGGCTCCTCCATGTGGCTGAGAGACTCCGACATGCCAGATTGGTCCAGGAGGAGTCCATACCCCAGTGTCCCCCAAAACTGGTACATTCCACTGATGTTGAACTACAACTCCCATAATTCCCTTCTGTACCTCCAGATACGCCCTCAGTTTTGGAGAGAGCGTCATGCCTGAGCACTTTGCATCCTCACATCCATAGGGGCTAGAAACTTGGTTTTTTACATTAAAGGCTGATGTTCTCAGTGGGTCAGATTTCACATCTGGTGCCACTTTCTGCATGCTCGCAGGATGCACATGGCTCTTCTTGGTTCCGTTTTTCAGGTTTTGTGTCCTGGAGGGATAAATTGACCGGCTCCTGGTATGTTGAAACCCTGGACCAGGTGCTGGACCAGTACGCGCGTTCTGAAGATCTGCTCAGCATGCTGGTAAGGGTAAGTTCTGCATCTTGTACCAGGGAGGCTGGGTTCAAACCCTGGCTCAGCCCTGACGTTCCCGGATGACTTTCTGCCAGTCACTGTCTCTGACCCGACCGGTTGATGCTCCTTGAAGGAACAGCAGGCTAAAAACTGGGGAGGCAGGGCAGGTGGGTTGATCTTCCTCATGGGCGCACATGCCTGTTCCTGGCCGAGCATTCATCCACCTTCCGGGAGCTTTGGACTAGCGCCCCTGCCCTTCCCTGACAGCCAATGAGAACAGCCATTGTCCAGCACATCTGGAAGGCATCTGGCTGGAAAAGCCTCGGTTACCAGATCCATCCCGATTTTCACATCACACCTTCTGACAGATTGGAGGTGGAAACGGGTGAGGTTGTAACAGCCCAAAGATCACTGCCTAGACCTTAGGGTCATAGAAAGCAGTCTGTGAGGCTCAAAGCATTGGTTTCTCCAGCCCAGTGTTACTGACACAGGGGTGTCAAGGAAGGGATGTTTCTGAGCCCTATCTGGAGAAGCCAGGATCAAGCCAGCAACCTTCACGCGCACAGCTTGGCCACTGGTTTTGCTCCAGCCATTCTGTTAAGTATCTTTGCCCTTCACTGATTTTAAGAACTGAGACCGTCTCCTCGAATTCTTCTCCTTCTCCTTGGGATTGTCCTCCAGTATGTCTAACCACTGTTCTGCCTCAGGAAACGACATGGCAGCTGCTGAGTGGTGCTGGAAGCTTTCTGCCCATGCGCGGTTGTGTCTGCGGCAGAGAAGAAATGAGTCTGTTCTGGCTCACAGTATAATCCTGGGCAGGTCCACCCAGGAACAGCTGAGTAACTCCCAGGCAAACATGCAGATATATTGGACTACAAAGCCTATGATTCCTACATTTGCAAGGTGCAGAAAGCTGGTAGATAGGATTGCCCCAGCCATAGAGTTGCACACCTCCTGGGTAGGGGGATCCCTGAAAAACAGCTGCAGATGACAGTGACTAAACCCAGAACTTCCTGCATGCAGCACAGGGCTCTTCCTACCTTCCAAACCTTCCGCGGTTCCACTGTCTCTGCCCCCTGGCTCCGAGCAAATGCAGTGTTTTTCTAAGAAGAGGGATTCTGACCCAGACTGACACAAGGTCCCTTTCTTTGCATCTAGAATGCTTTCCATTATCTGGGGGTGGAAACATCCCAAAGGGTTACTGTGCCTGCATGCATTTCTGCACCCGTATGTTCCTGTGTGTGCTTTCTGTGTAAGAGGACTACAGCAAACAGTGCTTCTCTTTTCTCGTGCAGGTGGCACACACCGTTTCTGCAAAAGGGATGTACAAGCAAATGCCCGGCTGTTTTAACTTCCTCCGTAAACAATTCTTTTTCCTGGTCAAATGAAGGAAGCTTGGAAGGGAACGGATGCCTGTGTGACGAGAATCTTTACATCCCGTGATGGCTTCCAAAGAGCTTGCCGTCCCTCTGCGTGAAGATGTCTGCGTGATTTTGTTTTGGGGTGATTGTATGTCATTGTGGGGGCTGAGGGTTCACAGCTTCGAAAGACTTCCCTCTCCTTTCTTGGGGAAATGTGAAACTCCGCTTTCCTATCCTAAACCATCTGGTGGTACTTGGAAGAATCCTGCATAGAGTTCCAAGCATTCCAGGTTCCCCTAAGGAGGAAACCAGGGGCTGTTTCTTTTTCTCCCCCCCCCCCCCCCCTTGGAGATTCTCTCCAAAGAATGTCTAATTTCTTCACTGTACTTTTTAATGATGTCCTTCCAGTACCTCGCTGGTGCTACCAGTTTAAACCTGCTGCAACCTAGTTTAATGGTTATGACTACCTTTTCCTTTGCCTTCCTGTGTTGAGGAGTGCAACTCTTGGGAAGGGGTTCCAAACAGCCTCGTAAAACAGCTGTTTTCCCTCCCGAAACTGCTCGGTGGAAGCCAAGCCCAAACCGGTAGCACTGATTGATCCTGCGTTTTGTCGGGGCAAGATAAGCAGACATTCTCTGAGCAGCTGCTGTGTCATCGTGCCATTAAATCTTCTATATTTCTATGCAACCTGCCTCGCCGCTGGTTATTTCAACTCTGCACCTGGTGCAGGCTGCACAGCTGCCAGAGCAGAACTCCAGTCCTGGCGCAACGGAGAAGGGCTTTCTCGGGGAAAGGGCGGTGGTGACGACACCTTTGCCACGACTTGACTCAGCAGCACGGCCGTGGACCTGGTGAGAATTCGCCGGTGGCCTCTCCCGAAGGCACGTGCTCCTCGGACACAAGATTACTCTGGTCGCCCTTTCTGCCTCCTCGCCAGTAGAACCCTGTTGCACCCTCTCCCTCTGTTTTTTACATCCAAGCACCCCTTCAATGCAGAACTGCTCACTCCGGCTAATCGCAAACAGTCTTCAGGTCTTCTTTCTCTTCTGAATTTGTTTTGACTTAGAATCACAGAGGGGGCAGAAGGCCATCGGGTCCAACCCCCTGCTCGGAGCAGGACCCCCAGTTAAAGCACCCCACTGCCCCTCAAGTGTGGGACAGCCCATGGCTTCCCTAGGTCACTGGTGCCACTGTCGCCCTGCTCTCACAGTCAGGAATTTCTTCCTGCTATCCGTATCCAGCCAGAATCTGGCTTCCCGTTCCTTGAGCCTGTTATTCTGTGTCCTGCACACCGGGATGATCTGGAAGAGACAACCCTGGCCTTTGTGACTGCCTTTCCAGTACAACCCTCAGACATGCACATGGTGGGCATGTCGTGAGCGAAGCTGGCTGGAGCCGGGGGTCAGACTAGATGGCCCGGGAGGCCCCTTCTGACTTGCTCTGTTTCTATGTTTCTTTGCTGTAGACTGCCACCCTCCCTCCCCTCAGTCTTCTCTTCCCAAGACTAAACATGCCCAGTTTTTTCAGTCTCTCCTGTCTCCAGTCCCCGGATCGTCCCTGCTGCCCTCCTCCGAACCCTTCCCAGCTTGCCTGCATCTTTCTGAACTGTGGTGCCCAGAACTGGACACCGCGCTCCGGATGAGGCCCAGTCAGTGCCAAATAGAGGGAACCGGTGCCTCATGTGACTTGGAACCTATGCTTCTAGAAATGGCGATATGGCACGTACCCTTTCTGCAGCCACATCACATTGCTGACACATCTTCAGCCTGTGTTCTGCAACAATTCCAGGGTCCTTCTAACTTGCAGTATCGCTGAGCCACATATTCCCCATCTTGTACGGATGCAGTTGATCTCTTCCCTAGGTGCAAAACTTGGCATTGCTCCCCACTGAATTGCACTCTGCTGTTGTCTTCCCAGCACTGCACCCTATCAAGATCGCTTTGGATCTTGTTTCTGTCTTTCGGGGTATCAGCTGATTTGAGAATCCTTCCCTGCACTTCTTCATCCAAGTAATTCATAAAATGTTACAGAGCAGTGGGCCCAGGAGCAAATCTCGACATGCCCCACCTGTTACCTCTCCCCAGTCTGGGAAGGTGCCACTGGGAAAACCAGTCTTTGAGTCTGATTCTGCAGCCAACTCTGGATCACCTGAAAGTTGTTCCATCTCACTCACTTTTAGCCAGTTTGCTAATCAGAATCTCATGGGGCACTTAGCCAAAAGCCTCACTGAACCAAAATATGATGCTCACAGCACTCCCACGATCCACCAGGGGCATCACCTGATCAGAATGCGCAATCAGATTAGTCTGGGCAAACTTCATGGTTGGATTTTAAGCCTGTGCTGGAGGAAGGCTGGGTCCATTTTCATTAAGTGCCTACCTATTTTAGGGCTTTATAAATGATTAAAAGGAAAAAGGCAGTGGACTTAGGGGGTGTTCTGCTTCCCCTTCAAAAGCAGCTGTGCTTGTGCTCTGCTCTACAGGAAAAGAGCAAGAAGCTTCTAGCAATGTTTAAATGATCAAAGCACTTCACAGTGCCGGGTCTTGCAATGTCTCATTTTCCAGATCAGAAAATGCTGCTGATTGAATGGTGGCCCAGTGGGAATTCATTTATGGAAATGAAGAAGGTTTCTAGTCCTGTGCATGCCTGGGAATAAGTCCCATTGAATTCAATAGGACATACTTGAGTGTTCAAATGGATAGATGGGGGTCTCTGTAAAGCACCTCAAAATAATTCACATAATGCAGCGATGGAAAACCTTTTAGAGACCAAGTGCCCAAACTGCAACCCAAAACCCACATATTTATCTCAAAGTGCCAACACTACAATAAAACCTGAAAACTGAGATTTTAGTTTAAAAAAACTCACAGCCAGTCCAAGCAAATCTCTCTCTCTCTCTCTCTCTGTCTCTCTGTGTCTCTCTCTGTCTCTCCTTGGCAGCACACTGACCAGCCATGCTAAATCTTGGATGAGTTGCAACTTATGGGTCACGGCTTGTGATGTCATTGCCTGGCACCACTACTCCTTTCTGAGCATGCGCATGGCCCCGATGTGCGCTGCTACCTGATGTGCAGCCATGCTAAATCTTGGATGAGTTGCAACTTATGGGTCACGGCTTGTGATGTCATTGCCTGGCACCACTACTCCTTTCTGAGCATGCACATGGCCCCGATGTGCGCTGCTACCTGATGTTCAGCTGCTGGGGCGACTGGGCGCGCGTGCTGACAGAGGGCTCTGCGTGCCGGCTGTGGCACATGTGCCATTGTTCGCCACCACTGGCCTAACCCTACCCTGGTGCATTCCCCTAACACTAATACAGGGGTAAAACACCATTGAAAGGGGGGATTTTGTAAAAGCCTTCCTTGAGGAGCTTTTTCTGCACAACTCATCATTTCTGCCCATTCTAAACAGATTCCAACCATCAATATCATGCCAGGACACCTCGTTTTTCTAACCCTAACCCAGTGAGCGTGAACTTGTTAGAGTGCCCAAACACCACTTATTTACCGTGAGGTGCCAACACTGCAATAAAACCTGAAAACAGCCAGTCCAAGCATGTCCATCCATCCATCCATCATCCTTGGCAGCGCACTGACCAGCCATGCTAAATCTTGGACGAGTTGCAGCTAATGTGTCGTGGCTTGTGACATCATCACCTGGTGCGGCTACTCCTTTCTGAGCGTGCGCATGGCCCCGATGTGCACTGTTATCTGATGCTCGGCTGCTGGGGCGATGCTGGGGCGTCTTGGCTCGCGTGCCGACAAAGAGTGCTCTGTGTGTTGACTGTGGCACGTGTGCCAGAGGTTCGCCACCACTGACATAATACTTTCATGTGTGCATGCATAGATTTTTAAAATCTGGCTGGTGGAGCAGCTAAAGGGTTGTGCCCTTAAAACAAAATCTGCTTGTGGTAGTGGATAAATGGTCGCAGTCCGAATTGAAAATGGTTGCTTAAGATACTGCATCAAACAGACACCTTGCAAAAACTGAGCAAGAAAAGTGTCGACGAAAATGGGTGTTCACAGCATCTCTTCAGCAACCTCCTGCCAAACAGAGGCAGATGGGCAAGGTAAAAGCCGGAAGCAGGCCAGACTTATAAATACATCGTGACACTCGGAAATGCCTGGTTTCTTTATTATACTCTTTCTTTGATTTGTGGCAGTTTTGGCAAGACTCGCTCTGTTCCTCCACAGGATGGTTTGCATTAATTCTCTGCCATCACCTATAGAAGATGCAAAGGAAAGATCAGAGGGAGAGAAAGCAAGATTTCATCTCTGCTGGCAGGAAACACGGGGCTCTCCGCATTTCTCCTGTGCTCTCTGCCTGCTTGAGTTTGCTTTGGCTCTGCCGCCCTGAGCCCAGAGAGATGGGTCTGCAGACGTGGAATTGGGGCAAGAGCATTTCGTACGTTGGAGAAGCTGCCACACCCTAACAAGGCAGCTTACTGCTAAACGCAGCCCTGCTTATTGCCGCCGTTAAACCTCTCTCCCCCTGTGCTCTATGAAGCGGGTATCTTACAGCATCAGGGACTCCTACCAGTGTGCAAACACGCGCAGCTGCTCGCCATTCTTTCCTTTGTTTTTTTCCCTTGCTCTGCATTTAGTTCCTTCCAAATTCGGCAATTACTTGGGGAATTTATATACACAATTCTAGCATTTCAGCAATTGTTGCTACCAGTTCTTTTGGCTTGCTTATTTATTTATTTATTTATTTATGGATTTATATCCTGCCTTTTTCCTACAAAGGGCTCAAGGCAGCTTACATCTCCTCCTCCATCTTTTCACAACAACAACCCTGTGAGGTAGGTGGGGCTGAGAGTCTGTGACTGGCCCAGAGTCACCCAGTTGGCCCCATGGCTGAGCGGGGACTCGAACCCAGAACGTCTGAGTCCCAATCCCACGCTCTTCACCACGGCACCACACTGGCTCTCTTTTCTCTTTTTTCTCCTTGACGCCACCCTCCTTTGCATTTCTGATGCACCTCCCCTGCCCCCTGCCCCCCTCCCCCCACGCACAGTGCTTTGTCAGTCTCTGCATCAAACCTTTTTCTGTTTTTGGACATTGTTTTCCCTGATGTGCACCAGCGCACGGATATAACACCACAAAAGGCAAAAGAAGTCTCAGGGATATGGCTGGCGTTGAAAACTTTTTCCTGTCCTTCATCTAAAAAGATTCCTGGTTGCTTTTCAAACGTGTAATATAAAAATTAAAGAAGAATGAGGCTGCAGTCCGAGCGAAGTTCAGGCAGCAAAGAAGGATGCTCATTGCGCTGTGCCAGGAGCGGTGGGCCTTGTTTGCTTTCCAAGCTTCTCTGGGATTGTGCCTTAAAATACTTCAATGAGCCAAGTGATGGCTTTATTTCAGAAATAATTCAGTCCTGATTTCATTTTGCCAGTGCGATGTTAAAATACAAGCAGCAAAAAACAGCTAAAATGTAAAAGGGAAAGGGTCGCATGAGGGTGACTCCCTTTTGGAGGGGTGTTCTCCAGGTGAAAAGGTTGCCCACCTGCATCTCTTTTATTGCCCACCTGCATCTTATCCTGTGTTGAAAGCCACCTAGGAAGGTGGCGGCTGTTCTAAGTGGCTATAAATACAGGTATGTAGAAATAAATAAATAAATAAATAAATAAATAATCTCCAATATGGCATTTAGGGAAGGGCCTCTGCCAATTGGCTAACAGCATGGACTGAAAGCCAGTTCCACATCTGGAGGGTGTGGGGCAGGAATGTAACACACCATCTTGCTCTAGAGGAGTGCAACAGCTGCCCCCACAATAAAATGGGGGGTCATTAAATATCTCAGCATGGCCCATAGTCAACTCTAGCATCTGGGTCATTCAGGGAAAATGAAAGCAAGAGAAGCAGCGTTGAGTAGTGGTTGGAGCAGTGATTCCCAAAGTGGGTGGTACCAACCCCTGGTGGGGGTGTGGAAAGATGCGGGGGGGGGGGTTGGTTGTTTAAATTTGCAGAAGAGCGATAGGTCTACTACAAAGAAAGAGGCAAGGCGGCACTTAGGGTTGTCTCCCAAGAGGAAAGGGGGCAGCGTCTGATAAAGTTTGGGCTAGTATTGCGAGATCTGGGTGCCAGTTCCCTCTTGTCCACGAGGCTTGCTAAATATGTATCATATTTTACATGCATTTTAAAGCTTCAAGCTCTGCAAACCGCCCAGAGGTTCTGGCCCCTGGGCGGCCCAGAAGCGTGGCAAAGGAGACGAGGTCCCGGACTGACCTGAGAGATCCAGCTGTTGAAGGCGGAGACGCGGGTGAAGACGGACGGCTTCCGGGGATAATTGCAGCCCAGGGACGAGCCGAAGCTGACCACGCCGTGCACCTCCCACTTGCCGCTGGAGGACTGGCAGTTGAGCGGCCCCCCGGAGTCCCCCTGCGGGCGGCCACACAGGACTTGCTTGGAGCTTGGGGAGAGACGGCCCTCAGCCCCCAGCCCCACTGGCACAGAGGGGGCGGCGCAGAAGGGGGACGCGCTGGGGCCGATCGGGGCAGCGGGACTGTGTCATGGGGGGGGGGGCTCTTCTTGGGGCTTGCTTTCCAGGGCGGGCTTAGATCGCTTGAAAGGGGTGCTGGCCTGGCCTTCCCCACCCTGGTGGACCCTGGATGCCTTGCACTAAAATCCCCATCCCTTCCAGCCAGCATGACCAATGGGAGTTGTAGTTCAGTCCGAAGGGCACCAAGTAAGAAATGCTGGGGGAAGCCAACACACAGAGGACTGGTCTAGCCATGTGGCTAGCTGTGATAACTCAGTGGAACCTCCATGATCGAGCGCACTCTACCTCTCTGCTGGGCGCAAATGATGAGGAAGGGCTGCTGCCTTCCTTCATGCCTGGCTCATGAATTTCTTGGCAGAAGAAAAGTTGCCTTATGCAGCATTGAACCACTGGTCCGCCTTGGTCAGGATTGCCTGCGCGGACGGCCAGGGCTCTCCATGGATCTTTCCCTGCCCTGCCTGGAGGTTGCACCAATATTGCGTGACACGGAGCTCAAAAATGGCTTTGTTTTAACTTAGAAGGAAAGGCAAGAAAGGAAAGCTCACTGGAACCCCCTGGGGTCCCCCGTGAAGCCTCCCAGAGGTCAAAGGAGGGCCCTGTTCATACCGGCAGAGCTGAACGAATTGGCTACTGCAAGACTGGGGGTCTTTCGAAGGGGGTTGGACAAATTCACCAAGGCTTTAGATCACCTCCAGTGTTTCATGAAATCCTCCCCCCATTTAATGAAACTTGCAATTTTCCAACAGGTGGCTTTTAGGCCTCCTCCACACATGGATAAATATTTGGGGGGCCTTTGGGAGGAAAGGAGAGGAGGCCGCTTCTGGCGGCAGGTGCTGGGAGGCAGCAGCAAGGAAAGAGTGGCGCGCGCCTCCCGGCCTGCGCTGTGCCCCCTCACGCGGCCGGCCGCCTGCAGGGCAACGGGGCTGCCCTTCACCAGCATTGCATGGTGATTCCGCGGCCCCCCAGGCCCCTTTGGCGCAGAGAACGGGAGGGCCGCCACCTTGTCCCTCTCCTCAAGCAGCCACATGTCTTGGGCAGAAGGCCAGGCCAGAAGGGCGCTCCGCTCGCTCGCTCGAGCAGGGCTCGGTTTATGGATTATTAGGGCTGCTCTCGTTTAACAGTAGCAAGGAGCCAAAACAGCGCCATGGAACGGAGACCCACTTCGATTGCTCCCTGGAATATCACTGGCTGGGCACCAGCAGTGGGGAAGGGCTTCCGGGAATCATTCAGTTGTGCTGGAACTGGCCAGGGCCGAACTCGGACAAGGTGGACTTTCCGCAGATGCAGCATCATGTCATCTGCTCTGCAAAAGTAGCCTCCCCCTGCTCTGACGTAGTTTCCCTCCTTAGTTCAGCCACCGCCCCCACCAAAACAAGAAGTCTAAGCAAGCAGCCCCCATCCTGATTCTGGGGCGGTTCGGTCCAGCGTAGGCTGCGCAGCGCCAACCCAGCTCCTCGGCACGGCGCATTGCAGCTGCGGGGCCGCGCTCTCTCTGGCCGACCCCTGGAGGGCATGTACTCACGTTGCAGCTGGAGATGTTGCCATCGCCACCAGCACAGACCATGGTGGTCTTGACCGTGCTGCCCCACCAGCTGGGCTGGGTGCAGGTGGCGTGGTCCACGACGAGCAGGAGGCCCTGCTGCAGGATGTCAGGCAAGGGCCCGTTGGCTGGAAAAGACCCAGGCCGAGCGGTTAGGAGGCAGAGGCACGACACGGCCCCAGGACGCGCCCCCGAGCGCAGCTGGGGCGCTGCAGGGGTCGCGATTCGGGCGTCTCGTCCGTCCCGCAGTGTCAGAGCCGATACGCTTTAAGGCAGCACCCAGAAACTGAGTCACCGGGGAGGAAAACGCCCGTTAGGTGGTGTCCAAAACCTTGTTGTTTAAAAAGTCTACCCAGAGTTTTTCAGCAGGTTGCTCATTGACAAAGAGGACTCCAAGTTCACGCGTGTGTATTTGTGCGACGGGCGCTTTCCCGGAGCCAGCCCACTCCCCTTGAGGAGGCGTGATTCGCACTCACGGCCACCAAGCGCACTTACTGATCAGTCTTCCCCACCCGGTGACGTAGCAGGCAGCGCCATTCGGCAAGAGGCTGTTCGGCTTCGGGAGGCACGCCGGCCCGATCATGTTGCTCGGAGGGACGTGCTGGGAGAGTTTGATCAGTGCGATATCATTCCTGGTCACGGCGAGGAGAGGGAAGAGGACAGGGCTTTATTAGACCTGAAGGACCGGCTACACCTGTGCATACCTACCTACCTATGATCGGTGCAGGAGGCCCTTCTGCAAAAGCCGTCCCTCAGGGAGGGGAGAGGGTGGCAAGTACGCTGATGATACCCAGCTCTACCTCTCGTTTTCAACCAATCCAGGTGAGGCAGTGGCTTTGCTGAACCGGTGCCTGGCCAAGGTAATGGGCTGGATGAGGGCCAATAAACTGAAGCTCAATCCAGACAGGATGGAGGTCTTGTTGGTAGGCGGACCAGGCTCTGGGGAAGGGGACCTTGACCTTGTCCTGAACGGGGTTGCACTCCCTCTTAGGGACAGGGTTCGCAGCTTGGGAGTGCTCCTCCACCCAGAGCTGACATTAGAAGCTCAAGTAACAGCGGTGGCGAGGAGCGCCTTCCTTCAGCTTTGGCTGATCCATCAGCTGCATCCCTACCTGGAGAACGACTGTCTGGCGACAGTGACACATGCATTGGTAACTTCCCGACTAGACTTCTGTAACGCGCTCTATGTGGGGCTGCCCTTGAAGATGGTCCGGATACTTCAATTAGTGCAAAATAGAGCTGCCTGGTTGCTGACGGGGACTGGGCGTTGTTCTCATATAACCCCAGTCCTCCTTCAGCTTCACTGGCTCCCCATTGAAGTCCGGGTCCAATTCAAGGTGTTGCTTATCACCTATAAAGCCCTCAATGGCTTGGGTCCTGGTTACCTAAAGGAGCACTTACGTCCATATGTGCCCTCCCGTCCCTTGAGATCGGCGGCAGAGGCCCTTCTCCGGAGCTCTCCGGGAGAGACATTAGGAGGGTGAGTATGCAGAGGAGGGCCTTCTTTGCAGTGGCGCCCACCCTATGGAATGCGCTCTCCAGAGAGGCCTGCCTGGCGCCGTCATTATTTGCTTTTCGGTGCCAGGCCAAGACCTTATTATTTAAACATCATTTTAATTGTTGATTTTATTTATTGATTTTAACAACTTTGGCCAGGATGTCTCCAACTGCATTTTATTGTATTGATGATATTTATTTATTTATGTTTGTAAGCCGCCCCGAGGCTTATGCGAACGGGGCGGCATATAAGTCTGCTAAATAAATAAGTAAGTAAGTAGGCGAAGGGCCTTTTCTAGGCTGCTCCCCAACTCTGGAACTCCCTCCCTAAGGAAATTCACCTGGCACCGTCTTTCTTTTCCTTTGGCGCCAGGCAAAGACATACCTTTAAAAGAAAATACTTAGCCCTGTGAATGCTGGTTGCTTTTTCATGTTATTGCTACGTATGTTGATGTTGCAATAGGTTTTAATGTGTTGTTGTTGGCAACCAGAATTTCCACTAACAAAACCGATCAACTTACCCGTTTGCCACTCTGTTGGGGTTCCAGTTTGGGTGAACAATGATTTTTTCCGGAGAAATCGCGACAGAGCCAGACTCATCCTTCGCAAGATTGTGTTTTCCAAGGTACACACGATAGGTCCGGGAACTGAAGCAAGGAAGGAAAGAGTCAGGCCTTTCTGTGTAATGAATCGTCAGAACCATCACAGGACTGAGGGAAATGTGGACACGCGCCCCTCTCTGCCCCATTCAGCTTACAAGAGAAGCGTGGCGGCGGCGGCGGCTATCCGAGTTTGTCCCCTCGGGAGGCAGCTTTACCCTCAGAGGAACTCTCCGTGGTGCTGAACCAAACCTCGCGGGTGGGATTCAGCGCCACGGACAGCGCTCGAGGAGCCCGGCCCGGTCTCCAGGAAGCGCCCCCGGAGGCGCACGTGGGCGCAGCCGCGATCCAGCTGCAGGCGCGGCTTCCCTCCTTCCCCGAAGCCCCTCGTATTCGAAGGGCTTTGCAGAGGGGCGCTCCTGTGCCAGAGCCCCTTTTGTAGATCTGCGCCTCCTCCTCGTCCAAAGCCCCCCCGCCCCGCAGCGATTTCAGACTCGGTCGCGGCCCGACCACTCCAAGAAGGCCACCTCCATGCAAATCCGTGGCGAAGAATGAAAGCTCCTCCTGTTTTCTCGGACTCGCCTTCTCATCCGTGGAGCAGCACCTTGGCAGCTGCCTCCGGAGGATGTGGGAACGAGGCTGCACGCTGGTTCCCATGGAGGGTTGTCAACCTTGCTTGTTTCAGGGAAGCTTGTCGTGCCACCTGTAGCAGGCACAGCTTCCTCAGTATGGTTTGTTAACCATGCGCCAGCCCCCCTGGGGATCTATGGCTTGGCGCTGGGTTGTCCAGGGTGGCTTCCTTCAGAGTGGCTTGTGCTGATGTGCAAACCTAGCACTTGGGCTTGTGCATGGCTTGTTGGAAAGAGCTGCAGAGCCGCCCAGCAAGGGAAACCTGGTCACCCTCTGTGATCTCACTAACAAGACCCCTGCTTGGCTATGTCTTGAAATAACACAAATCAAAGTACACCTCACCTGTGTCATCTCCCAAGATAGCAATGCCCTTTATTCACCTTGGTGGATATTTGCACATATTTAACATTATTTAAAAAAAAAAACTTGCACACATCTTCCCAAATAAAGTTAACATGAGCACATCTCCTCAAAGGTGAAATCAGACCTACAGAAAAACCGCTACTCCACTAAGGGTGCCTAAAGAAAATAATTTGCAACACATTTGGCAAAACTAGATCAATACATTCCCTTTCTTGGGAGCTGTTTATTTTTTCTTCAGAAGTATTGAAAAAGGATCTTTTCAGTGTGTGTTTGAAAATTTCAGCACAGATGTGGCATTGGAAGGATTTTATATTATTATTATTATTATTATTATTATTATTATTATTATTATTATTATTATTTTGCAATAACTATGGCAAAATAACTGTCTCCAGAGAAAGCAAATAAAAATTCCAAAAGCGTTGGGCAGAATAAATCTTCCATCTGGGCACTGGAGAACTTTCTATCGTTTGCTTAGAAGGAACCCACTGGGGGGGTTCCAAAGACGTGGAAACCCATAACACCCACAGTACAGGTCAACCTCATCAGTGATAGTGCCCCCTCCCCCCATCCTCCCATGGGTATGCCAGAGGGCCCCATGGGAGCACCAATCCCCCCCCAACACACACACACACACACACACACACACACACACACACACACACACACATTCCCCACTAGGTTCATGAGCTGTTTTTAACTCACTGCAGGCTTTTAAGTGCTTTTACAACTAAGAAGCACCTTGAGATCACAGAAACCCCTCCGTGTCGCCAGCCACGGACGACCCTTGCAACATTTCCCTGCAGTGCCTTGGAAGTGCTGCTTGGTGACCAGTTGCCCACGTGACTACAATTACATCGGGACAACAGTGGGGAACCTGGCATGGCAAATGCATGATGTGGGGAGCTCTCAACGATGGTTGAAGAAACTCCAACATGGACACAGCCCAGGGCATCCCGCCTAACCTTGCGTGGCCCCAAAGACACAGGAGGCTCTTCGGAGAAACCAGCTCTGGAAGAAGACCAGAGGTCCCCACTGCACAGGGGATGGTTGAGCTGCCCTCTCTCCCCCTCCATCATCTAAAGTGGGTTCAGGGGGGCTAGAAAGTGTGTTTTCAGCTGGGAGACACAGCTTGTGTAGCTGTGTACAAGAGGGCTTATGGTGTCTCAAAAGTTGCCCAAGGATGAACCAGCCCAGAGTGCTGGAGACGGGCATCAAGACCGATGCTATGCAAGATGGATGCGCCTGAGGAGCGCCAGCCTCTCATGTCCAGGAGCACCCGAGCCAACAAGCAGTTTTGGGGAGGTTGTCTTGTCCAAGGGCCACATGTCGGAGCTGCAAGTGAGCCCCGCATTTCAGGTGAAGAGAAGCAACATTCCCTTCCTGCAATCGTTGCGCATTGTCCAGCTTCCCATGGGAGGAAACTCTGGCCTACCCTATACAATGAGCCGCAGTCATCACCCAGTTGGTTGCAATGAGGGTCCCACCACACGTGTGACGCCATTTCCCACTTGACAAGTACTGAAGGGACGCCTAGAAAGGGCACACAAGACACGGACTGAGTTGGAGCGGCTGGCAAATGTCCTCTGATCACATGAACCTGAAGCAAAACATCTCCAGAAAATACGGCCGTTTAAAAAGAAATCACAGAAAGTTAGAGTTGGAAGGGGCCAAGAAGGCCATCAGGTCCAACCCCCTGCTCAGGGCAGGGCTCCCTGTTAAACTGTCCTTCCCAGAGGGCTGTCCAGCTGCATCTTGAATGTATCCCTCAAGGAAGTGTTTTGCTTCCAGGCATGATAGAACCATAGACTAGTCAAGTTGGAAGGGGCCCAGAAGGCCATCGAGTCCACCCCCTGCTGTTGCAGGACACCACATTACACCATCCCACTCAGGTGGCTGTTCAGGTTCTTCCTGAATGTCTCCAGTGTGGGAGCACCCCCCACCTCTCCAGGCAGCTGGTCCCACTGTCGCTTTGCTCCAACAGTGAGGAAGCTTTTCCTGATGTCCAGCCTGAATCTGGGATGTCGCAACTTGAACTGATTATTCCGTGTCCTGCACTCTGGCATCAGCAAGAAGAGAGCTTGACCTTCCTTTCTGTGACAGCCTTTGAGGCACTTACAGAGGGATCTCACGTCCCCCCTCAGCCTTCTCTTCTCAGGGCTGAACATGCCCCGTTCTCCCAGTCTCTCCTCACAGGGCAACTGCAGTCATGTCTTGAGCTAACATGACTGAGGATTTGGGATGCCATCCCAGTCAAAGTTAAAAAAGCCCCGTGGCAAAGCTGAACTGCCTCTTACCTGCCAGGGCCAGCTGTTTTGCCTGGCATCTTCTCCTCCGACAACTCTGGATACGATGGGCGGGTAGATAGGGTCTCCACAGCTGGCGTATGGCGTTGGATGGCCTGCAGCTAAACCAAACACCGGAGGTGAAGGACCCAAAAGGAGCTTGCCCCTGGTGAGTCTGGTGAGTCGGAGATGTTTCCCTTCCACCTGGAGCTCACCTTTCAGAGCAAGCACCATAATGTGAAACAAGTGATGGAGGACAAGGAAGTGCCCACTGGCGATCTTTTCCATGCCTCCTGGTACAATCTGTGATGCATATTGATCATGTCTCATCTGCAGTTTTGCCTGAGCTTCCCAGATAAATCGGAAGGCGCTGATCAATAGACTATATTGTTCCACTGCTACCAATAACATTCCTTCTGTTTCTTTCCCACAGCCTTTGCATTCCTGGTTGAATTACCAGCTGTTTTTCAGGTTCTCATCCAAAGGGCCATCTTGTCCAGCCAACCAGTCTCCAAGAAAGGCCACAAAGTGTGGGTTGTGTAGGAGAGGTTCTTGCACTATGGTTTGATGCTGAAGCACGGGCTCATGTATTATCTGAACTCAGCTGAGGTAACGAACCATGGTGAAGAACCACCGTTCATGCCCCAATATCAAACACAGGTTTTTTCTCATTGGTTGTTTGCACTTAACAAACCATGGCTTATTAGTGCAGTTGGGTTCAGAAAGCTTGGTAACCCACACTTCAACAACAATCCACAGTTCAATGACAACCCACACCAACTCATACTCAACCCTTAAGTTTCATGTCATCTGAACTGGCCACCCAGAGGCTCCCGTTTGCTCCTGTTTGTATACAACCTTCTTCCAAACCTTGACTATGAATTTAACAATTATGCATCACAAGGAGGAGGGGGGGAAGGGGGAGAAGGGGAAGGGGAAGGGGAAGGAGAAGAGAAGGAGAAGAGAAAGAGAAGGAGAAGAAAAGGAGAAGACTTCCCCTTATTTAGCATATGGAATAAGGAAAAGTACCCCAAGAGGCCAGAGCCAGCACAGCAAAGAGGACTCCAATCATGGCTGAGGTTGTCTAGATCGAAAACTGCCCTTTCAGGCAGTCTTATACACCAGGAGGGCTTATCAGTGACAGATCCATCCAAGGTTGACATTTCTGATGGGGAAAGGTTGTCCTGGCGGCATGCCAAGGATGTGGTGATAGGACTGTTTCCATCTCATTCCTTCCAGAGGTTGCGTCAAATTACGTACAGTTCATGCTGCAGCTGCTCTTTCTCCCACGGAAGCCAGTGCTCAGGTGTCACCTCAGGGCTGGAGATCTTGCCAAGGAGCTTGTGAGGATTTGCCAAAAGGGGGCTGCAGCTGCCTGCCGCCTGAGGTCCTGGGTTTGGCTGCCTCCCCAGGGCTGGACCTCACTGGGCACCTGCCTAAGTCCGCACACCTGCAGGGCGACCACTGCTGGTTCCAAGAACAGGTTCTGCTGCTGCGCCACCTTTCCTCTTTGCCTGCTCACCTGCCTTCTCGGCGTGTGCAAGCAGGCCCTCTTCACTACCATCACTGCTGCCCCTTTAGTAGCTTAACAAAACTCTCGCAAACCCCAAAAACTTTTTGAAATACACCAGGCTTTATTCAGCATGACTCACATCAGGGCTGAGTCAACAGGACTCTGCAGAAACAGAAGGAACCAAGCGGGTTCATGAGAAGGAGACGCTTTCTTGGTGGATTTGGTCTCCAGAGACTTGCACCACCTGGTCGGCCTCAGCCGGGCATGCCGCAGCGTGGCAAGATCCTTCTTAAAAGGTAGCACCCAGAAGGAGCTCTACTAGTGGGGCCAAAGGACAAGGAAGAGGTGTTTCGACCAGGTCTGGTCAATTTGTGGCCTGCCAGATCGTTTGGCCTCTGCTCCCGTGGCCCCTCACTACGGATGCCGTTGCAGACTGTGCTGCGGACTAAAGCATCAGAGGGCTCCCCGTTGCCTGCCCCAAGGCTTGAGGATGATGGGAGAAGGCAGAGCGGTTGCGGTGGCCCTGGGAAGGTTGGTTTCCATCTTGTTTTCCCTTTTTCTTTTTAAACAAACCAGGATGCGGTGCCGTGGGACTTATAACACATGGCAGAAGTTTGACTTTCTTATCTATGGAAAAAGAAGACCTTGTGTCATGGCCGTACTTGGCAGAGCCTGATAACAATGACATAACCATCATCCAAAAGTATTTTTAGTCTTGGGAATTCTGCATATGGAGCGATGCAGGGCTGTTGTTGGACAGGTCACAGGACACGTTCCTCGGAAACTCCTGTTCCTCTGACTCAACAGAGTCTTCTCTGTTGTCAGTCCCCTGATGTGTCCTTTTCCACAGAAGCAGATGATCTCAAAGGTCAAGAGAGGTATCACTACCACTCTGTATGACTCTGGTTCACCCGCAACTGGAGTATTGTGCTCAGTTTGGGCCCCTCATTACAGGAAGGATATGGCCAGGTTGGAGTCAGTGCAGTGCAGGGCCACGAGGTTGGTGGTCGGTTTGCAGGGGATGCCGTATGAGGCGAGGCTGAGGGAACTGGGTCTCTTCAGCCTGGAGGAGGGGAGTCTCAAAGGGGATCTGTTGGCGACATACAGGTGTGTGAGGGGGTGTCACACGGAGGTGGGTAGAGACCTGTTCTCCCCTGCAGAGGAAGGCAGGATGCGCTCCAACGGAGCAAAGCTCAGGGAACCCAGGTTCCATTTGGATGCCAGGAAGCCCTTCCTGACAGTCAGGACCCCGAGGGTGTGGAATGGGCTTCCACAGGAGGTGGTTGAGGCCCCATTGGTGCGGGTGTTGAAGGATAGGCTGGACGTGCACATGGAGGGCATGCCGTGAGCGGAGCTGGCTGGAGCTGGAGGTCAGACTAGATGGCCCAGGAGACCCCTTCTGACTCGCTCTGCTTCTATGTTTCTATCATTTTGTTCAACCCAGCCCTCAGTGGAGGATCTCCAGCGCATGACACCCCACCTTTCTCTGAACACCTCCAAAGAAGGAAAGCCCTCATCTCGCAAGTCAATAAATTCCGCTGTGAAACAGGGGCTTGAGGCTGTTCTAATGGACTGTCGGCTCTTGTCAACTCAAGGCTGTGATGGAGTGGATCCATGGCATGCCAGCCTTCCCCTTCTCTCTTCTACTTCCCTAGCATGGTTGTCTTCTCCAGTGAGTCTTGTCTTCTCAGGATGTGCCCAGAACCAGCTTCAGTTTTGTCATTGTTGCTTCCAGGAAAAGCTCTGGATTGATTTGATCCAGGAGCTACATGTTCGTCTTTCTGTCGGTCCAGGGTATTTGCAAAGCTCTCCTCTGGCACCATGTTTCCACCACATATACTATCTTCCTGCCCACTTTCTTCATTGTCCAGCTTTCACACCAACAGATAGTGCTGTGTCAGCAGCCGTGAGGACCATCCTGGGTCACCCTGAAACGACCTGGCAAAAGGCGCCCTGGTGAAGCTGCGACAGGCCCAGCAAGCCGGCCATGGATTGTTTGTTGCTCCAGAAATACAAATGAGATACAAGCGGACGGGCCAAACAAGAAATGACCATGACAGTGCTAATGGACTAAGAGCTAGAACAGCAAAGCACAAAATAGGAACCTCGAACACATCCAGCTGGGGAAACAAAGCAGAAGAAATGGTAGAAATAATGGGAAAAAGAGGGATCAAGATAATGGGACTAGCCGATATAAGGCGCAAAGGACGTGGTAGTAAGAATGTTCGGAAGGGGTTCTCATTTATCTACTCAGGAGGGACCACATCAAAGAATGGAGTGGGCTTCTTGGTACACCCAAACATAGCACAGTGTGTACTAGACATCTGTAATTGCTGCCCTTCCAGTGACCGTCCTTGACTGGTGCCTGGCCGGGGTCATGGCCAGCAAACTGGGGCTCAATCCAGACAAGGCAGAGGTCCTGTTGGTGGGTGGTTCAGCCTTCCAGGTAAGTGACTTAGCCCTGTCCTGCGTGGGGTGCTCTCCCCCTAAGGGGCAGGGTGCGCAGCTTGGGAGTGCTCTTCGACCCAGAGCTGTCCCTGGAGTCCCAGCTGGCAGCTGCAGTGAGGAGCGCTTTCCTCCAGCTTTGGATGATCCATCAACTGCGCCCTTACCTGGATGAGCAGTGCCTAGCAATGATCTGGTAACTTCCCAATTGGACTATTGTAACGCGCTTTACCTGGGGCAGCCCTTGAAGACGATCCAGATACTGCGGTTGGTCCAGAATAGAGCTGCCAGGACCGGCAGGTGCTCACACATAATGCCAGTCCTCTATTGGTTACACTGGCTGCCTATTGAAGTCCAGGCCCAAGTTAGATAGATAAATAAACTACTTAGACAGAAAAAGAATATTGAAAAACCAAGAGAGGACGGTAAATTGAAGCATTTTTACAATTATACACCCCGTGCAAGAACAAAAGGATGAGTTCTTTGATGAATTATCTGGGGTGTTAGAGGAAGTGGGAACTAATGGGGCATTTCAAAGGTAGAGCGGGCCCTCACCGAAGAGAACATGAGCAGATCATGCTGCCACGGACAGTGAAAGGAACAATAATGGGCAAAGGATGCTGAATTTATACAGCCAGCAGCATCTTTTTATCACTAACACTCTTCTTGAACACCGAGACTTGCAACATTATACATGGTAGAAATGGAAGGACATCACCATTAAAAGTCAGATTGTTTACATATTGACAAGAGTTAAAAGAAGATCCGGAATACTCGATGCCAAAGCTATCTCCAATGGACTCTGGGACACCCATCGCAAGATTGTGGAGTTAGCAGCAAGGAAGGATCACGCGAATACCAACAGAAGAAGACCAAATAAAAACCACGAATTGATGAAGAGAGCAAAACGTAAGCCAGAGGAACTGGCACAGCAAGTGCAGCAAAACTTGGGGACAGCATTCAGCCAACTATCACCAGAGGTGGGGGACACGGAGGACCAGCGGAAGGCCCCTGCTTGAGTTCCGGTTGACGTCGCAGCGAGACGGCTGTGGAAAACGGGGCTCTGTTCTCCACGTCGTCATCGGCTCTACAGGGGGCCTGGGGAGACCCATCCAAGCCCTGTTGGGGCAGGGAATAGAAGCCCGAGCATACTCCTGCCTGGTGTGGGGCGGCAGTTCCTCACCCGCCGGGTCAAATTCGGGGGAATTCTCAGTGAGCGAACAGAGAGGGGTGCACCTCCCCTCACAAGCTCTCGGCACCGGATTAATAGCGAAGAAAACAAAAGAAAGCTTAAGAGTGGACATCGGACCTGCTGGGTGGGCAATTAAACCTTTTAAAATACTGCCTGTGAAAGAACCTGTGAAATAAACATCAGTCTGAATAACAAAAGGAGGCCCTTTGGCTGAGGGAGGAAACCTCTCCCTGTGGAGTTCAAGCGGTGACAAATCTAGGGGAGATTAAGTGAAACTGGGGCAGTTTGGGACTTGGAAGAGAAGAGATTTTCTCTATGTTTAATCTCCCCAAGGGCGAAGAATTAAATTTGAACTTATTTTATATTACCTGGTAGAAGAAGCGCTCTCTCTCTCTCTCTCTCTCTCTCTCTCTCTCTCTCATACTTCCATCTCGGAGACATGGTGATCAGATTCCTCCAGGTTCTGTACAAATAACTTTTTGGCTGCCACCCTGTGGTCATTTTATTTTTTAACAGATACATTGTTTGCCACATAAATAAATAAATATATATATAAATAAAATCCCTTATTTTTGTTTCTTTGTGATTTTTTGTTGCTGTTTAGTGGCTATCTAGTACCACAACAGGTTATTTTTAAAAAATTGTAATTCAACCTTTTACTTTCATCATGGATAAAATTTACCTATCATCTTTGGCATCTACATCTGCTTCTCAGAGCTTGCAAACAACACTCTTGGCAATAGAAGCATCTTTAACATCTATCCAAGCATCTCAAGAGTCTATGCAAAATGCTATACAAGAATTTGCCCTGGAACAAAAGGATGAATTGGACAATTGGATAGCTATGTCTTGAAGATAATGAATCAACTTACAGGTTCTGGTATTAAAATAAAACAAAATGAACAAAAGATACAAGAAGTGA